CAAATCCGTTTGGTGGGAAACACAAGAGGGAGTGATCTGTCGTCCCACTCGCCATGCACATCGACTGGCGGCTGATTGTTTGCCTTCGAATGTATGGGGGAACTGGTCGGTCGATCCTTGGGACAATCCCCCGAGGTGCGTGGTTTCCGTTGTAACTCAAGATTTGAAAATCTTGATAAATCGGTCATGTTCAATGTGGGCGATGTCCCAAATCCTGATTTTTTCGCATCTATCTTTGGATGCAACTGGGTTAATGATGTATCGAAGTATTTAGGTTTTCCCCCTTGCGGCCAAACCTAATGCAGTATCTCTGTGGGATCCAATTGTTGAAAATTACCAGAAGAGACTTGAGGGATGGAAAGGGAGACACTTATCTATTGGAGGCAGAATGACTTTGGAGTGGAACATGAGAAACTCGAAAGATGTCGTTGGTTAAATGGGATATGTGTAAAGTCCCAGTTTCACAAGGGGGGCTTGGGATTTTGGACATGGCATGGTTTAATAAAGCTATGCTGGGGAAGTGGCTCTGGCGTTTCGCTACGGAAAGAGGGAGTTGGTGGAGAAAATTGATTAGCTCTAAGTAGCGAAATCATAATTCATATTGGTGCACAGGGAGGAGTAGACAAGGTTTCGTTGGATCGGTTTGGGCTAACATCTCTAAGGAGTATGATGCTTTTTGGAATATGGCTAGCATTGATCCAGGAAATGGAGCTTGGGTTTCTTTGTGGTATGACAGCTGGATCCCGGGGGTGGTGCTCGCTGATGCTTTTCCAAGAGTTGGTGTCGCTGCGAGCGTTCTGGATGCCAGGGTCTCTGATGCCTTGTCCCTCTCAGATGATATTGTTTCTTGGCAAATTCCTTTATTTACTAATCTTAGAGGGGGGCTGAGAGGGAGAGATCTAATTTGTTGAATTTGCTTAATACTAGTGGTTATGGATGTGTGTCTTGTGGGCCTCCTAGGCCTGTCTGGTTACCAAACCTGGAGAGTTCTTTTTCTGTTCGTTCTATGTACAGGTACTTAGCGGGGGAGTCTTTCAAGGGTATCCCAAACGTCCCTGCTGATTCAGTTTGGAGGCCGATCGTTCCAACCAAAATCCGCTCCTTTATGTGGCTTGTAGCTCACAAGAGTATACTCACGATTGATAATCTAAAGAAAGGGGTATGTCTCTTGCAGATAGATGTGAGTTGTGCAATATGGGAAGAGTAGACGGTTGATCACTTATTTGTGCGGTGCGACTTCAATAAGGAGGTGTGGGATAGAACGAAGAGAGCTTGTGGAATTGTAGAGGCTACGATAAGAGACATTGTTCAAGTCAATTCCAGGTGGCCTATCGAATGTTCTGATAATGAATTGAGCTGGTTTCGATATGGTGTGTTGCAGACTTGCAGGCAGTGTGTTGGCAGATTTGGCTTGAACGGAAACAACAGAATTTTTAGGGAAGCTCGTCTACAAGCCAAGTTTGTTGTCCGGAAAGCTCTTAGGGACGCTGTGGAGTAGCCTATTGCAAGTGGCAAAGTGGATAAAGCACAAGGGAAGCGATGTCTTGAGGAGGTTTTGAGTAGGATCTAAGCGTTCTTGGCTTGAAATCTGCTCTCTTTCTCGGCTAGCATTTGTGAGATGCTTCTGCGGTTTTGTTCAGGTGCCTTTTCCTTGTTGTTTCGGTTTGGATGTGTTTCTATCTTTTGGTGTGATGGGGTGCAGCGTCCATGGATGTCTGTTTGGGGGGTCTGTGTTTCTGTTTTGTTTGAGTGGCCAGGGTCTTCTGTTGAGGGTTGGCCTTTAGTTCTTTTGGCCTTGTGCCCTTTTCTATTTGGCTGTAGAGGGGGTCTGGTCATCCTAGCAGCATCTTTCTTTCTTTTCCTTTTTTCTCCCGCTTGGGATCAAGCCTTCTTGTTGTTTAACTTTCAACAATCACGAATGAGGTGACCTTCTTTCTTGCAATATGCACAAAACTTCTTGCCATCTTTCTTTCTTTTCCTTTTTCTCCCGCTTGGGATCAAGCCTTTATTATCTGTTTTTCTCCTTGTAGCTTTGTTGTCGTTGTTTTGTGAGTTTATTTCAGTTGTACTGTAATTTTTGTGATTTTGGTTTCCATTAATAAATATCACCTTCATAAAAAAAATTGAAGAATTAAACTGACAATAAAATAGACATAGACATGCAATATCCTACTAACACAAGAAAAAATATTCAAAACAAAAGCTAGACAATGAACATGAGAAGATGATTTCCATTAAACAGGGAAGAAATCACAAAACAGCAAACAACCGGTTGAAGAGTGAGTAGGTAGGTACATCTAGCATTCACCCCAGTCGACTCGAAAGTATGAAACATCTCATAAAAGTACACCAAGAGCCAAACTATGTTAGCTAGCACGTACGGAAAAAGGGGTCTGACTGACTCGTGAAAGATAATTAGGAGGACTATGTCAAAGTCTTGACGAATTCAGTTGGTTGAATGTAATGAATTGGAAAAGTGTTTGTACAGTGGAGCAACTTTCACTTTATATATGACTCTATACAACTCAACTAACTATACATTGGTTAACCCCTAATCCTATCTAACCGGTTCATACATGAACCAATAGCCTATCTGACTCTATACAACTCAACTAACTATACATTGGTTAACCCCTAATCCTATCTAACCGGTTCATACATGAACCAATAGCCTATCTATATGGAAACGATACCGTTTCCCTCAACAGACTAGGTGGTAGGCACTTGATAGACATGTTTTAAGTTATGTGTTTGTTTGACGGTTCAGAAATCATGCTCGCTCAAACGCGACAGAAAGAAAGACGGTTGGTTGTTTTTTAGACGTCTTTAATTAATTTCACCAAACTATCTGAGCTGAGCTCACTCTTCTCTTCATTCAATATAATGCAGTCGGCCAATTTATGTTGGACAGGTGTTTACACCATAAATTTTGTCTTGTACCACATTGGTGAGTTACAAGATAATCAAGGAGTTTATAAGGCCACACCCATTATAACAATTAATGTTGTTTAAATTGGGCCTTGTGGATATTGATTTTAAACCCAAGTCACTAGCTCATTAATGAGCATGGACATGATTCAATAAGGGACATGGGCCTCTCGTAAGAGGCCATGCCATGCCACGAGATGGCATGAAAATTTCCAAGTATGAGAAGTCCATGGCCATGAATGAAGAGGCCATGCCGCCCCATGACCAAGGCCTAATGAATGAAAAATAAACTAAGTCTGGAAGAGGTACACGCCACTTCAAGGAGAAGCACTTGCCGCCTCACGAGAAGGGGCATGGACGCAAGACAAGAGGCCCTAGGTATGATTGAAAAATGCTAAGTATGAGAAAATCATGCCACCTCAAGAGAAGAGCCATGTGCATGATTGAGAGATCCATGGCCGTGTCACGAGAGGGGCCATGGACGCAAGGCCGCGAATCACACTTCAAAGAAGACAAAGATATTCTAAGTGTGGAGAAGGACTTGTCGCTTCAACGAGGAGGGTCATGTCCCTCTAGAGATTGAGAAGGTCATGCGTGTCACAGGAAGGGCCACGAGCATGAATGAGAGGTCCATGGCCGCGAATGAAGAGGCCATGCCGCCTTATGACCAAATTCAAATGACCTAAAAATATTCTAAGTCTGGGAAGAACATGCCGCTTCATGAGAGGGGCCATGTGCACGATTGAGAGGTCCATGTCGCCTCATGAGAGGGGCCATGGACACAAATAAAAAGGGTGTGGTGATGGAGCATTATATCACTAGTGAATATGTCTCAAGAGGTCCATGACCGTTAGACAAGAAGTCCATGGCCGCGAGGGAAGAAGACCACGACCCCCTTTGCGAGACACCACATGCTCGTCAAAAGACTAGCATGGCACGAGATTCAGAATAAGACTAGGCAAGGCAAGCTACACTCCAAAACCCACGACGGTTCCAAGAGAGGCACCTAGGCGGTTGAAGAAGTAACCACCACTCCGAGGAAGCAGGGAGCGGTTCTTTTTGGGAGTTATCCAAGAGGCGATTTTCTACCGAAGAAGGGGAAGCGGTTCTTTGTAGCAGTTATCCAACAAGCGGTTTTCTATGGCGGTTACCTCCTCGGGGCTATAAATAAGAGGAGGGGTCGACAGAGACAAGGGGTTCCAAAACCAACACTCTGACACACATGTCAAGTTTATCCTTTACCTTTTCTATATCATGTAGCCATAGATGTAGTTCGTAGTTTGGAGCTCTCGTCGAACCTCCATAGGAGTAGAAGTAATTTAATTTAGATCTCGTTCCCAGAAACCATCAATCAAACACCCTCGTTCGAACTTTGTTTGAAGAGGTGTGAGCCGTGTCTTAGAAATCGTTGTCCATAGAAGTCAAAGGTGCAATCCATCTCAATTCAACAGAAGTTTTCTCGCCGGGAAACAACAGGTCATTACCACACCACTTATTAGCTTGTAAAATACAGAAGCAAAATCAATACGCAAGCAAATAGCTTCACCCGTCCCCTCCTCAAGTCAACAGCAGCAGTACTAGTACGTACGATTGATTCCTGCTCCAAATCCCTTCCCTTGTCCTTACTTTCCAGCCGCGTGCTGTGAGAAACATAATTATCGGGAGTCTAATTGTTATTTTGCATATTATTCGGATATTGGGCTAGGGTGGGAATTATGAGGGTTTATTCGGTTAGGTTAATTATTCGGGTAGTAAACAGGAATTAGTCGGTTTATATATATACTATGTTATGTTAGTTTAAGGGTAAGCAATAATACAGAATTGTTCCCAACTCTCTCTCTTTCCCTCTCACCTTGGCCGAACCCCCTTCCCCTCTCATCACCGTCGGCGGCTTCCCTCCCCAGGAACCCGACTCTGCCTTCTCTCTCATCCAAATTCCCCAATTCTTTCTCACCTAAATTCTCAATCCCTAATTCGTTCTATCCCCAAATCGCACGCCTAGATCCGTGGTTCTCACAGTGGTATCAGAGCCTGGCTGGCGTGCTGATTGTTGAATTCTGCAGAAGTTGAGGATGTCGAATAAGGACAAACCGCAGCAACAGAAGCAGGGTAAGGAGATCGTGACCGTGAAGGACATAACGACGAACAAATATGACACGATCGTCACGACGCTGGAAAGCCTAATGGAGTCCACAGAAAGGGCAGCGGCTGCCTCGCGGGACTCAACCGGGGCCTTGGAGGCTCTGGGAGGACGGATCACCCCCTCGATTGAGGAGATGGGCAAAACCGTGACGGAGAAGATGTGCCAAGCCCTAGCAGACACGATGAAGGAGGTCTTGATCGGGGTTATGCAAGGTCATGAGCCAAATCCCGAGAACCGTCCTGCGGCGGTGAAGATGATGGCAGAGGCTGTGTTTGGGGCGGCCGCGAAGCCGGAGACCAGCCCGCCAGGAGCTGCGGCGGGCGAGGGCGACGGGGCAGTGGCGGACGCGGCTGGCGGCGAGGAGGGAGGCTCGGCTGGAGCCTCGACGGTGGCGGCGAGCGACGCCTCGGCAGCGGCGAGATCGCAGGGGGCGACAACCGGCCAAGGCGCCACGGCGCCGGGGAACGTGGCCTGTGGAGGAGCAGGCGGCGGCTGCGAGGCCGCTAGGGCCGGCGGGACGAGGAGGTGGCCAATTTTGTGGGCCGAGGGCGGCCGGGGGAGCGGACAGAGGAGAACGGGCCGCGCCAGCCTTAAGTGGGCCGGGCCTGCTTCCTGCTCCAACGGCCCAAGAGATTGCGGAGGCCCGCGGAAAGAAGAAGGTGGAAGAGTTTGAAGAATTGGGCCCGGACTATGATGAGATGAGTTTCGCGGGCCAAGAAGAGTGGGAGATGGACCATGGGCCTGATGGGCCCAACCAGTATTGGGTGGCTGACCCAATGATGGACCAACCCGAGCGGTCGGTCGGGGCAATGGCCGGTCGGACCGAACCGGGTCGCTTTCCGCGGGACAGCGGCTGGAATGGGCCGAGTGGAGGGCCCGGGCGAGAGAGGTCAGGTCCCAAGTCAAGCTACCCGCCGTGGGGCACTCCACGAGCAGAGTACGGGAGCCGGGGGCGCAGGATGGATGAGGGACAAGGATCAGGAACCAAGCCTGGCGGCGAGGAAGAATATCAGCATGAGATGGCCGATTGGGCCTATTCGGAGAGGCGGAACGCGAACCCTGAGTACCGACACTACGGGGCGGGTCTCCCCATGCAACCATCCGGTGGCAACAGGTACGGATACAGCAACCCCCTATATGACTATGATGAAGAACTGGTGTTTAGAGCTAAACCTCCCGTGATTGAATTCCCAAAGTTTGATGGCATGGGTGATGTGGGATTATGGTTGTATGCGGCGGAGAGGTGGTTTAAGAACCATCCGATTAGAGCTGAACGGAAGGCGCATCTGGAGTCCTTCTATTCGGAAAGGGATGCCCTCCAGTGGTGGGAATGGACCGAGCGGGCGTATGCGGCAGCCGGTGAGGGCATCTCTTGGGCTAGGTTCCAGGAGGAGTTCCGGTACCAGTTCGGCAGGGCAGAAGGATGGGCACCAGAGCAGTTGGCCAAGTTGAAGCAGATAGGGTCTGTGGCAGAGTACAGGGTCGAGTTCTTGAAATTGGGCAATCAGTGCAAGGAGATGACCGAGGAGACGCTGGTGGGGTTGTGCATGGGCGGACTGCGACCAGAGCTGGCCACTGCAGTCAAGGTTTTTGAACCTGACTCTCTACGTTTGGCTTTTAGGCTTGCAGGTAGGAAGGAGGAGGAGCTGGCCAGTTGGAGGTCATCGGTGGGCAGAAGGCCAGTGGGGGAGCCAGTAGCGGCACAGGTGCGGGAACGGTGGCCCCGTCGGCTGCAACGTCGAGTCCACCCGCGGCAGGGGCTGCTGTCGGAACCCGATTTCCGGCAAGGCCGCCACCGCGCCGGTTCGTGAGGCTGACTCAGGCAGAGATGGACCAGAAGCGCAGGGATGGGCGTTGTTTTAACTGCGATGAGAGGTACACCGTGGGACATCAGTGCGCTAAAGGGCATTTAATGTTGCTGGTCGGGAATTGGGAAGATGAAGGTGAAGAAATGGAGCTCGAAGTTGAAGGAGTGGAAATGAAGGAGAACGACAAGAAAGAAGGCCCATCTCGAGGGCAAGGTGAGTTTTAAGGGGGATGGATTGTGAGAAACATAATTATCGGGAGTCTAATTGTTATTTTGCGTATTATTCGGATATTGGGCTAGGGTGGGAATTATGAGGGTTTATTCGGTTAGGTTAATTATTCGGGTAGTAAACAGGAATTAGTCGGTTTATATATATACTATGTTATGTTAGGTTAAGGGTAAGTAATAATACAGAATTGTTCCCAACTCTCTCTCTCTTTCCCTCTCACCTTGGCCGAACCCCCTTCCCCTCTCATCACCGTCGGCGGCTTCCCTCCCCAGGAACCCGACACCTAAATTCCCAATCCCTAATTCGTTCTATCCCAAATCGCACACCTAGATCCGTGGTTCTCACACGTGCTGTCCACCATCTCATCTCAAAGTAAAAAGCCTGCACTCAGTCTAGCTTTTAGTTTAATGGGTTTACGTACGTTTGACAGCAGCAGGTTTCAGAAACAGCTCTTTCCATTCCCGGGAGGGGAAGAGAACAAATTTCACTTTCCCCAACCTGGCACGTTTGATGGGCTCTTCCATGAATGTTTTGGACTATTTATTAAACTTCATTCAATGACTCCCCTGACCTGACATCTGTTCTGTGGTGGAGCAATGAAAGCGAGCCGACGCCTTATTTGATTCTCTGTGCATGGTGTAGAGGGTGGGTGGGAGCGTCCCATCAATCATTCCACAAGGTAACCAAATCAGTCTCTAACTAGTCTAGTCGGCACACTATATGTACGGGCGTATTGTTATGAATAACCAGTTTAGTTTGCTTATTTCTCCACGTTGATCAACGACATTGCCACCGCTGAGAGGATATCAAAATCCTATACCTAATGCCAGACATGCATTACTAGAGCATACCCAACTTGATCATTACCGACTGAGAGAAATGCTGCTTCTAAATCATTGAAATCCAAAATCAGCAGCACAAATTGTAACATGCTCATCAATGAATACCTACCAACTCCCATGAATATAAATAAATATAATATATATAGGAGCCGACATTGGCTACCTATTTGGATTCGAACAACAATCTCATACCATATTAACCATATTCACTCATCCATAGGAGAAAAATGGCGAGCTCAAATCCTACAACGCCCCGCTAACCCTCAATTGTAGGCACACTACGATAATTCACTTTCATCTTATGTTAGCACTATGTTTGAGTGTAGAGCTTAGCATCTCCATAGTAGGGGTAATGTATTCATCATCAATGGTGGTACCCTCTTTTTTTTTTTTTAAATGTATATGGTTCAAGAGGCCCACACTTAAATGATTTCTATCCTTATTACTTTATTATTGATTAGATAGTTGATGGCATGAAGCGAAATCATGCATTAAGTGACGAAAGCTCGGTTTAGAATACTTTTGTAGAAGGGACATAGTAATATAATATAAATGAATCATTGAGATGCACAATATGAATGAGAATTGAGATGCATGTTTATATAGATTTATATTTTCTACTCAATCATGTATCTTTACTTTTCTTTGTTACTTTTTCCTTGCTTATAGAGCAATATAATAGATGAATAATTGAGATGCACAATATGAATGAGAATTGAGATACATGTTTATATAGAGTGATCTTGACCACTCAATAACGCATCTTTTCTTTTCTTCGTCAACACTAACTCCAAAGGGTGGTTAGTTTCTTGCTAAATGATGATAAATAGCTTATCCTCTTCCAACCATTTGCCTATAGCTTGTTAATTTCTTGCTATTCATTGAATCTTTTATCTTTTCTTGACACGAGATAGAATTTTTAAATAAAAGGGGCAGCGGGTGTGAATTAACTGATGTTTGGAGCATATATGATATTATACCCTAATCTCTAATGGACAAATCCCGATCTCTAATTCTCTAACACAAATCATCAAATTCATTTAACCAAAAAATAATAACGTATGATTCTGATTCGTCGAAATGTTTCAAAGTACATATAATATGTGCGAACACATGCATATAACATAAGCTTGTTGTACACTTGAAATTGCCATATATATGTATGTGTGTATATATATATTGTTGTGGCTTCTGTCATACCCAAACTAAATCTAGGGTGTCACATACTCTTAGTAAGATCTTGAATGATATTATACTATATTTCTTAATGATAGTGTTTTCTTACTCAAGATATGCGATGTCCCCGATTTAATTACCCTACATACACTTGAACTCCCCATTTATGGTGGATTCTATCATATCCCTAGTAAATTTACAGAAATAATTACCTTTAATAAGAAAACATAACTAGACATCAAATTAATAAGATTTTGGGACATGATGCTATACCCTAACCCTTATGAGTGAACATTAGGTCTTAATTATTATAACCCTAAATACTAAGAGTCTAAGATGGTGCATGTACTTTGTTTCATATATTTTGACAAATCATAATTGTTGATTGTTGTTTCTAAATAAATTGACCTTAGTGTATAAGAGTTAGAGATTTACGACCTAGATTTTTAATGCTCAGGGTTAGGTGTAGCTAGTTTGATGTTACGTGTGACGTTTATAAGCTTTCTGAATAAATTAGGTTGGTTTTGATTAGAAGTTTTATTTTACATGATAACGCCAAGGATCAATATTTTTAAAATTTCCGAATAAATTCGGTTGATTGTGTTAGAAGTTTTAGTCGTGGGAAATTGTGTAGCGTATTTGACTTAGTGAGTTGCATAATCATAGTCAAATGGTAAAAAATGACTTTGATCGCTCAGTTTGCATTTTAACCTTACTTGATTTTCCTTCCTCTTTGCATGCCCTCTCAGAGAAGCTCGTGGTGTGGAACAAAGAGACGTTTGGTAACATTTTTTGCAAAAAGAGGCACCTCATGAACAAGCTTGAGACCTTGGAGTTCCGCAATGAGAAATCGGCCAGCCCCTATTCTATTGAAAAAGAAAGGGAGACTAAAGAGGAGTTGGAGGACACCTTATGGCAGGAAGAGGTCCTCTTGATGCAAAAATCCAGAGCGAACTGGTTTGTCTTTGGCGATAAGAACTCCCGCTTCTTCCACCAAAGCACCTTAAGCAGACGAAAGAGGAACAAGATCACTAGCCTCAAGGACGGAAATGGTTGCTGGATTTCTGATTCGGATTCCCTTGTCTGATGGCTAGAAGCTTTTATGTGAAGCTGTTCACTAGAGAGGATAGGGATGTTCGACCCCAGCTACCAGCCGACTTCCCTATCCTGCTCTCCTCCTTGCTAGAGAAACTTGGAGCTCCCCCGCCCCTTGAGGAAGTTAGAGTTATCGGCATGGACATGAACGGTCTCAAAGCACCAGGAAAAGATGGCTTCCAAGCAATCTTCTTTCAGAAGTGCTGGGACGCCATTGGAAGGGAGTTCATTCTCTTTATTTCTGAATGCTTTAGGAACCCTAGAAAGATTAAATTTTCAAACCAGACATAGCTTGCCCTCATCCCTAAAGTCGAGGCCCCAACCTCTATGATCCAATTTTGACCCATTAGTTTATGCAATGTTAGCTACAAGGTGGTGGTTAAGACGATTGCCAAAAGACTTAAGTTACTTATTCCCCATCTGGTCCACCCTAACCAATCCAGCTTTGCCCCTAATAGACACATCACTGATAATATTTTGATCTTGTAGGAAACTGTGCACTCCATGACTAGGAAAGGCGGAAAGAAGGGTACCATGTTTCTGAAGGTGGACTTGGCGAAAGCGTATGATAGGTTCGACTGGGAGTTCCTTGAAGAAACCCTGCTGCTTGCTGGTCTCCCCACTCAGTGTTTCAACATCATTATGCAGTGTGTGACCTCGGTGGAGATGCAGGTTCTTTGGAATGGAGGGGAGACAGAACCGTTTCACCCCACCAAGGGAATCAGGCAGGGATGTCCCCTTTCCCCTTACCTTTTTACTCTCTGTGTTGAAAGGTTGAGTCATACCATCTCTAGGAAAGTTAGGGATAAGTCACGGAAACCCATTACCTTGTCTGTTGGTGGTCCCCCTCTGTCTCACCTGTTTTTCGCGGACGATCTTTTCCTGTTCGTTGAGGCTAGTGTTGAACAAGCTGACTGTATTATGTCTTGTTTGAATGCTTTCTATGATGCCTCGGGAGAACTTGTTAGTAAAGATAAGTCTAGAGTTTTTTTTTCAAAAACACTAGAGTGCATACTAGAACTAACATCTGCTCTAGGGTAGGCATTCAATCCACTTATGACTTAGGAAAGTATCTTGGTGTTCCTGTCATCCATAGTCGACTTACCAAACATACCTATCGCTACATTTTGCATAAGATGGATAGTAAACTTACAACATGGATAGTAAATTTGGCCGACTTACCAAATTTACCCTTGCTAAGGCAGTCTTGGAAGCCATTCTCTCCTATGTCATGCAGACTACCATGCTCCCTGCTTCGGTGTGTGTGACGATTGATAGGAATATTAGATGGTTTGTCTGGGGCTCGCATGCGGGGAAAATAAAGGCGCACTTGGTCTCTTGGGATACTATTTGTAAGCCTAAGAACCAAGGAGGCCTTGGGCTGAGATCGGCTAGGGACCTTAATCTTGCTTACATGGTTTAGTTGGCTTGGCAGATCATGAATAATGAGAATGAACTGTGGATGCAGGTGATGGAGGGCAAGTACTTCCATCACAGGGAAGGGAAGATTAGTGCCATGAAGACTAGTAACCACATTAATTTGTGGAGGGCTATTCTCAAGGTGATGCCAGTGATGAGAAAAGGGATGGTGTGGAGCATTAGAGATGGGCAGTCTACCGGATTTTAGACTCCACTTGGCTGGACCAGGATACTGTACTGGAGGATTTTGCTCTTGTGGACCTCTCTGAAGAGGAGAAGTACTCAAGCGTGGCAGAATGGACTACTACGGATGGTGAGTGGGATTGCAACAGGCTTAAGGAGTACTTGCCTAATGAAGTGTTGGTTCACATTGTAGGTTTGGAAGCGCTGATGCCGAAGCTGGAAGAGGATGGGACTATCTGGGGAGCTGAAAATGATGGCAGGTTTAGGCTAAGATCAACCTATGACCTCGTTGCTCGCTTGACAGATGACGAGATTGGGGAAGCGTGGAAGGACCTTTGGCGATGGGACGGACCCAACAGAGTCAAGCTTTTCCTTTGGCTTGTCTTTCACAACAGACTTCTCACAAATTCAGAGAGGAAAAAAAGAAAGATTTCACCGAATGAAAGCTGTAACAACTGCAATGACGAGAAAGAGACTGTAGAGCATATCCTCAGAAGATGTAAGAAGACTAAGGGATTCCGGAGGCACTTTGCTGGTAAGGTAAAAGTGCAGAATAATGACATGAACTTCCCAGAATAGATCCACAAGAACGCCAACGGTGCAGGTACACGAGTCGACTTCGGCATCCTATGTTGGCTCGTTTGGAAATAGATAAACGAGGAAATACTCGATGGAAAAAAGTACTGTGAAGAAGGCCTAATCTGTAAAGCCAAGGCTTGACTGAATATTCACCGACAAGCAAAAGCAAGTGTGTACAAGAGCCTTGTTGTGTGTATCTTGACCCAAGTGAAGAATGATGTTGGTTGGAGATCTCTAAGAGAGGGCTGGATCCAGGTGCAAGATGACGGATCGATGCTTGGAGACTTAGGATCTACTGTTGCAGGTGGTGTGATCAGGGATAGCATTGGTCGATGCTTGGATGCGTTTGCTTGCAACTTGTGGGTTTGCTCCATTTCAGCTGTTGAATTGAAAGGATCTGCTATCGGACTTCACAGAGCTTGGAAGCTCGGATTCAGGAAGACCGAGCTTAACCTCGATTCCACTACATCAATCAGTATTATCAAGAACTGGGAAGAAAGCAACCATTCACACGGGCTGCTCGCGGAGAAAATTGGGAGGATCTTTACTCGCGATTGGGAGGTTACTATTAATCATGTGTATAGGGAAAAGAACTTTGTTGCTGATTTTTTGGCTGCTAAGGGTCATACCCTTCCTTTTGGCACACATCAGTTCAATGTGTGTGATCCCAACCTCAAACATTGGTTGTTGTATGATGTCATGGAAGCAACCATGACTCGTTCTATTAATATTATGCACTAGGGTGTCTCTCGCCCGTCTTTCTACAACAACAACAAAAAAAGTGTCTATGGGACTGGAAGTGGATGCACGTGTCAGAGACCTTATCGATGTAGAGGTGGAACAATGGGACACGACACTCGTGGAGGCATATTTTGAATCGACCATGGCTACGCCAATCTACCAAATTTCATTGAGAGGTAACAAGGAGTTGGATAGAATCATCGAACCAGTTGGTAGTCAGATTCTTGGAATAAGCTATGATCGATGAGAACGTAATCCCCAGTTGTTCAATGGTGCCGGTTTTGCCAAAGTTTGGTTTATTAATTCTAGTTATTTTTTTCATGTAACTCCTTGCGCACATTTCATACTTGCGTTGCGTGTCGTGGGCTTGCTTACTTGGGAGATTGAGAGAGGTGTAGATTGTGAAGCAGATATGAGTTGCACATTTATCAAATTGTGAAACAGTATTTGGAGAGTGTAATATATTTATTGCTGCATCAGTCAACTCAACTCAACTCAAATAAAATGAGATGTCATATATGTGAGAATAAAAAGAAGGAAAAGTTTAAAGTGGCGCGGTTCACCTAATTACTAGCATTTTTAATATAATGAATGTTACAAATTTGGTGGTGTGTTGAAAGTCTGCCTATAAAATGCAAGCTTGTATGCCTGTTAGTTATTGTGCGCCCAGCCCAAAAGAAGGAAACAAATACACAAAGAAAGAAGCTTCTCTTCCCCTATTGTGAAAAGGAAAAATGAGCGCCATACTCAACTTCACCGCGGTGAGTCGTGGCAATCCCCGAGACCGAACGATGAATTTCTCTGGCAGGTTTCGTTTCGATCAGAAGGTCAAAGAGGTGAAAGGGTGGATCGAAGAAACCTTCAAGGTGAAAGCTCACCGACAGACGTTGAAGATCATGTGGGAGCCCGTAGCCACGGAGACGATAACCATGTTGGACGATGAGCAGACGCTGGAGGAATTGAACATCCGAGCTGAAACAGCTCCAATACCACCAATCCAGCTGAAGTTGACCGAGGATCATGCATTCGGAGTAAATCTTGTTCTGAAGGTGAATGGTAGAGGGTTTCAAGACCATCAACTGGTTTTTGCGTGTTCAGAGGAAGTCATGGTGTTTGGGCTGAAGGAATTCCTCTTTAGGAAGTTGGATCTTCCACCGGGAACCAAAATAAATCTCTCCTTCCAGCCCGAGGGCCAGCCCCGGTTTCCCCTCGTGAACAAGTACAGGACTATCATCTCTTACCTTGTCACCAACAACACTCTGGTGGATGCCCAGCTGCTATCCGAGACCGAGAGTGCCGAGTTGGGGCGTAGCTATGACAGCGGTAGCGGAGATGATGAAGATGATGACGACCCCTTGGGCGAGAGGACTAAGTGGAGGACTTCTGTCAACCGGGACGCGTCCAGCAGCAAGGGCTTGGGGGGCAGGTGAGCTCTACGAGAGGAGAGGAGGCTAGGCTAGCTGGGGCCGTTATCTGAATTAGTGTTAAGCTTGTGGCCGGCCGGTAATAATGTTGTAAGGTTGTTGCTTAATTAGTTTCCATTTCCCTGTGTTGTACGTTTAATTTTCTCTGTTCATGTCGCCCCGCAGCCCTACCCCCTTCTTTCATTGTTGTGATGTATCCTTCGTGCGTGTTTAACTTTATTAATTTGTCTGTCTGTCTGTCTGTTTTTAAGGAAAAATGGAAAACACTGGACTGATTTTGTCGGCCAGCTTTTATTTCCAGCTCTCTATTTCGTAATGTTCTGCGTCCGCTACATACATTCTGAGTTTGAGTTACGTTAGAGGCTTCACCACTATCCGTTGCTCACCGGTTTCTAATTAACGCTAGCTTCAGTTTCACCGCACATTGTTCATTGTTAAACACACACACATATATATACATCATTCGGAACAAGTAAGTACTGGTGGACGATCGATGATGAATTTATGCCTCCATTCCCTCTTCTTCTCTGTTTGATGCTTTCATTTTCAAGTTTCCATTCAAAGAATGGTCTGATCCTCACAAAAAGGTAACCATGCTAAGGCAAGTTCTATGGTACCCCGGGTGAAATCCCGAATATGGCGTACTTTGATGATCTTGACCGTATGTGTGATCTCGACGGCTGAGATTATTTCTGGTTAATTGATTTCTATTTTAGTGATTTAATTAAATAAAATTTCAGGAAGACTCATAGAATTAGTTTTCCTTTCATTTTAGTCCTCTACGTCCGTGGGTTGGTTAGTTTGAGTTGGGTTTTGTTTTTTCAATATATTGATTGACCCCAAATTCAACTACCCCAAAAAGGCAAAAACTAAGGGTACCTCCGTACCTACCCGCACTTCGTTCCCCCAATCCCGACCCTCTCTTCTCCATTTTTGTTTTTATGCTTCGTTGAACCCTATCCTTTTTCAATCGGTGCTACCCTATCATCTTCCCATGTTCCTCCGTCCTCCGCCGCTAGACGCCGCTACTCTCTCTACCCTTTCTAATCTCCCTTGCTGGCCCCAAATTCATCGCTCACCAACAACTTAGACTCTCCTTGCGGAAGGTATTTCGATTCCTTGCAACCCAGAAGAAGGAAGGTTGCTCCTCTGCTCACTTTTTCTGGCGATTGGCGTTACGGCTTCTGGAACGAGTTGCAGAGAGCTTTGTCGAAAGAAAAAGGGGTCACCTCCCCACCGGAGAGTCCTCCTACGACGACAGAAATTATCTTTGATGACCCCGGCGCCATTACCCTCGCTTCCAAGTGTTAGAAGTATAGGTATCAATTTGTAATTGCACAATAAGTGACGTGAGAAGGGGGTTAGGGTTATAGGTTAGTCGAGTATATATATGAGTTGTGATGGTTGACCTATGTAACAACTACAGTGAATAAGATCGATCTCTGCCTTGTGTCGTGGACTAGCCTTGATGATACTCGTCAAGGAAACCACGTAAATCTGGTGTCTCTCTTCTCTCGTATTTGTGTTGATAATTATTATCATGGTATCAGAGCCTCAGGATTCTTGATCGCGCCTGACGGTTTGGGTTTCGTGTCTCCGTGAGTTCGTTCGTGTATTCGTGTGTGCGCTTGGGTTTCATTGCGTGGCTGTATCTCTGTCCGTGCGAAGAGGTTCTTCTTTGCGGCGCAGTATATTTTGCTGGGTATTTCTGGGCTTCTTCTCCTGTTGGCGACGTGGTATTTTCGCTGGGTATTTCTGGGACTCTATTCTTGTTGGCTACGTGGTGTTTTGCTGGGATTTCTAGGCCCCTTCTTTTGTTGGTTGCACAGTACTTTGGGGTTCTTCTTTTGTTTGCTGCGAGATCTCTTATTTGGTAATCATGGAGGGTTCCAAATCTGATGCGGTGGTTGTTCGTTTTAACGGTAATAATTTTGCACTTTGGGAATTCAAATTCCGACTTCATGTACAAGGACGTCGCCTTTTTTCATTCCTCGATGGATCTGCTACTCAACCTACGGCGGATGCGGCCGTCAAAGAGCGTGAGGATTGGGATGCCAACAATGCGACCGTGATGTCCTTGTTGCTGGGCTCGATGGAACCTGGAATTGCACTCAGTTTGCGTGGCCTTCCTACGGCTACCGCCATTTTGGAAGCACATGGCGGAATTGTACTCCAAGGCTTGCGCTTCTCGCAAGTATGATATTGAGTTTGACTTGGCTGCATTGAAACAAGGGGAGATGGACATTAGTTCCTATTATCAGGAGGCCATGACGCTGTGGACGGAACATGATTTGACTACTAGTTCTCTAGTCTCCGCGGCTGCATCGTCGGAGGTTCTCGAGGAGTGAGCTAGCTCAAGGATTATGCATTTTCTCATGAACCTTCGCGCTGAGTTCGAGGGAATTAGAGCTTCCCTGCTTCATCGTGGTGTCTCCACTATTGAGGGTGTCTTACCCGAGCTCCTACGAGAAGAGACAAGATTGAAGAGTCAAGCTAAACTTGACATCCATGCCTCTAATCCTGGAGTTGCGTTTGTTGTACGCCCAGGCCGCCCTCAGTTTGCTAGAACCTCCTCAGGTGTGATCATCTGTCACTATTGCAAAGAGTTGGGTCACATCCAGTTTCACTGCAAGAAACGTAATACTTGCAACTATTGCAAGCTCGAAGGCCACCTAATTACTGACTGCCCGACATTGGCGCAACGAGGCCGTAATCGCAATGGCGCTGGTAGCTCTCGTTATCGTGGTAGCTCTCGCCCACGACCCTCCGGCAGTGCCTATGCAGCCTCGATGGACTCCTCTTTTTCTCCTGGCATGTCTTCGGAGGATGTGCGTCGGCTGGTTCAGGAAGCTTTGAAGGAGGCTTTTGCATCGGGTAAGCCTTCCTCCTTTTCTCGTACTTGGCACGTAGACTCAGCAGCTTATAACCATATGACTAGTGATCGTCACCTGTTCTCCGATCTTAGTTCTTCTCCGTCGCTGCTAGCTTTGCAAGCTGCTGATGGGTCTCGAATGCAAGTTCATGGGACTGGTTGTGTGGTCCTGCCCAATATTTCACTCCCTAATACATTATATGTTCCTAATCGTGTTCCCAATCTTGTATCGGTGGGACAATTAGCTGAAGCTTGGGGTGCAAAGTTATGTTTGATGAGGCTGGTTGTGTTGTGCAGGACAAGAACACGGGAGTGGAGATAGGGCGGGGCAGTAAGCAGGGCCGAGTCTATCTATTGGATCGTATCTCGAAGTTAGGAGCAGTGGTCGATGGCAGTTCTGGGTCGTGAAGCACCGCTGGAGTTAGTGTGAAGAGCTTCGCAGATGCTTCTAGTAGTAGAAATGTTATTTTTTGTTCTGGTTTTTCGGCTGAATTATTAAACTGGGATTTGTGTCATTTTAGACGGGGTCATCCCAATTCTGCAAGACTTTGTACTATGTTTCAGAACCATTGCTTATATGGATCTATTTCTGGGAATAATTCACATGATTGTGTTCATTGTTTGCAAGCTAAGCTTTCACAGAAATCATTTACTGCGAGTGATACAGTCTATACTGAACCTTTCGAGTTAGTTCACATTGACTTATGGGGGCCTTCACCTGTGATATCGCGGTTGGATTTCCGTTACTTTGCATTATTTGTTGATCAGGCGACCAGATTTACCTGGGTGTACTTCTTGCGGCAAAAGTCGGAACTGTTGACAGTAGCTCGTGAATTTGTGCATATGGTGTCGACTCAATTTGGTAAGGTAATTAAGATCTTGCGATCAGATCCAGGTGGTGAATTCTCGTCAAATTCACTAATGGATCTATTTCGAGACCGCGACATACTTCAACAATTATCATGTCCGGGAGTTTCACAACAGAACGGACTGGTCGAAAGAAAGCATCGTCACGTTCTTGAGCTTACCTGAGCTATATTAATTCATTCACAGGTGCCATCGGGATTTTGGGTTGAATCAGTGCATACAGTGGTTTATCTGATCAATAGACAGATTACATCGACTCTCCAATAGCATAGTCCGTATCAAGCTCTTTATTCTTGTTTCCCCAACTATGGCTGGTTGCGTGTGTTTGGGTGCATATGCTATGTGCTGGTATCCCGACGAGAGCGAATTAAACTCACTCCCAAAGTTGTCAAGTGTGTATTTATCGGTTATAGCGATAAGCACAAAGGCTATGTATGCTATGATGTGGCTAAAGACGAGTCCGGATATCATGTCATGTTAAATTTCTAGAGCATCAATCATATTATGGCTCGTCGAACACCTACCCAGCTGGTTTGGAACTAGATTTCTTGAAGGATACTTGGTCTCTTGATGCCGAAGCTGCAACGGACACGCCAGCTGATCCATCCAAGGATAATGACCCGGATTCGCCCAATCCCAGTCCCACGTCCTCCACATCTTCGTCAACTTTGTCCAGCTCCACCTCGGCAACTTCGATGAGCTCGCCAGTATCTACCTCCTCCTGGAATGATGAGAGTTCACCGACCTCACCAAATTCATCACCAACGTCATCCTCTTCCTTCTCGTCTAGTAACTTGTCTTCTCCTGGGTCATCTATATCCCCAATTCCCTTTGAGCTTGCCCAACCTAATGAGGAGCCAATCTTGCGACGCTCCACTCGCATTATCAGAGGTAAACCACCACCTCGTCACACTGATTTTGTGTCTTACTCTACCTCTCCTGTTTATGTCCCAGCAAAATATAAACAGGCCAAAGGCATTGAACGGTGGGAGAAGGCGATGGACGTCGAGAAGGATGCTCTTGAAGCATCACACACATGAGACTTGGTTAAGTGCCAACGTGACATGTCAGTCATTGGGTGTAACTGGACTGATTTTGTCGGCCAGCTTTATTTCCAGCTCTCTATTTCGTAATGTTCTGCGTCCGCTACATACATTCTTCATTCTGAGTTTGAGTTACTGTTAGTTAACAGGCTTCACCACTATCCGTTGCTTGCCGCTTTCCTAATTAATTAACTCCATCTATCTAGTGGGATTGCTCGATCAATAGGCCACGATTCAGCAAGGTTTGATCGCAACCAAAACCTAAGCTCAACAATCAACTCGCAAGTTATCAATTTTTGGGGTTTTCTATTCAATTGCAATCTGAATCTTACAAAGTACAATCCAAGCCTTTTATAGGCATAAAATAACTCTAACAAACATAAACAAACTGGAAAAGGAAGACTAAATCGACAAGGAAACTAAAACATAAGTGTAATCCTTATAGAACTAGGAATCCGAATAGCATTCGGATTACTTGGCAGTGTCCATACCATCTTCTCACGTCTAGAAGATGGCCTTCCAGTTTGATTCGATTTCATCCAATACCTTGTCGTTGTAGAAGGAAACTTCCTCTTTCTCCTCCAACTCGAATCAGCTCGAGATCATCTCCCAAACTCCAGTTATGACTCTTCAAAGTTAGCATCTTGTTGGACTTGAAAAACACTCTTTATGTCATCTCCTCGAGCTCCAAGACAGGCCAATCGAAAGATAAAGTTCTGAACTTCAAATTGAGCCCTTGAACATACATTTTCATCGATTGGTTTGAGAGATATGAACTCCCAAAGTAGGCACCTCGAACTCGACCCAACACTTAGCCATTTCCCTTTCTTCTTCTTCTTCTTCTTCTTCTTCTTCTTCTTCTTCTTCTTCTTCTTCTTCTTCTTCTTCTTCTTCTTCCTCTTCTTCTTCCAAGCTTCACTTCCTTCTTCCTCAAGCAATTTCTCCTTCAAGATTATTCCAATTGGGATCATATCACTCTCTAAAAGGCTAGCTTCTGTTCTCCCAAAGCTGGTTTCTCATAATCAGCATGCTTCTGTTAAGGGTAGGCAGATTAGTGATGCTGGTCTCATTGCCTTTGAGCTTGTTGACAGTCGGAAGAAAAGCAGAAAGTCGGGTTTGATGTTTAAGCTGGATATAGAAAATGCCTTTGATAATGTTAACTGGAACTGTTTGTTCAGAATCCTTTCTAATATGGGTTTCTCTGAGAAGTGGGTGAAGTGGATCAAGGGAACTATGTGCAATCCCAAGTTATCAGTGCTCATTAATGGAGAATCCAAAGGTTTTTTTGATGCTCAGAAAGGTTTGCGCCAAGGCGATCCTGTGTTGTCGGGTCTTTTTACTCTAGTCATGGATGTGTTATCCCACATGATCTGTACTATTCGTGAGAATGGAAAGATTGTTGGTTTCTGTATGAATGAGGCTGAGGGAAGTGGGGAGGTCACTCATTTGCTCTTCGCTGATGATACGTTGATCTTTTGTGATGCAGCCTATGACCAGGTGATCAATATTCTTGCCACCCTTGTGTGCTTCCAAGCAGTTACGCGTCTCAGAATAAATCTTGATAAATCAGTCATGTTCACTGTGGGCGATGTCCCAAATCCTGATTTTTTCGCATCTATCTTTGGATGCAACTGGAGTAATGATGTATCGAAGTATTTAGGTTTTCCCCTTGGGGCCAAACCTAATGCAGTATCTCTGTGGAATCCAATTGTTGACAATTACCAAAAGAGACTTGAGGGATGGAAAGGGAGACACTTATCTATTGGAGGCAGAATGACACTATTAAAAGTCATCCTTTCCAGCCAGCACGTGTATTACTTTTCTCTTTTCAGAGCCCCTATTATAGTTACGAAAAGACTGGAGAGCATTAAGAGAAGATTCGTTTGGAGTGGAACATGAGAAACTGGAAAGATGTCGTTGGTTAAATGGGATATGTGTAAAGCCCCAGTTTCTCAAGGGGGGCTTGGGATTTTGGACATGGCCTGGTTTAATAAAGCTATGCTGGGGAAGTGGCTCTGGCGTTTCACTACGGAAAGAGGGAGTTGGTGGAGAAAATTGATTAGCTCTAAGTAGCGAAATCATAATTCATATTGGTGCACAGGGAGGAGTAGACAAGATTTCGTTGGATCGGTTTGGGCTAACATCTCTAAGGAGTATGATGCTTTTTGGAATATGGCTAGCATTGATCCAGGAAATGGGGCTTGGGTTTCTTTGTGGTATGACAGCTGGATCCCGGGGTGGTGCTCGCTGATGCTTTTCCAAGAGTTGCTGACTGACTCGTGAAAGATAATTAGGAGGACTAGGTGGCAGGCACTTGATAGTAGGGGTGGGCAACGGGACGGGATACCCGTCCCGTTTTAAACGGGTACCCAGTCCCATTTGGAGACCAAAGTCCATCCCATATCCCGAACCCATATAGGAAACGGGTACCCATTACCCGTACGGGACGGATAACGGGTACCCATACTACCCATAAATACCCAAAGTTTAAATGACATCACATTACATATCTTTATAATAACATGCTCTTTCGGGGAATAATAAGAACACGATATGATAAAAACATAAATTCAATCTCTATATATACAAGCATTCATTTCAAAACATGTCCCAACACCAGATGACGTTTTAGCTAAAGACAATTACATCCCAAACCCACTACATAAACATGTATTAGCAGAGAAATTACGGTGGGAGCAAAAGTTAAGAATATGCAGCTATTCTAATACATTCCACAAAGAAAACATATAGCAAAAGTTCGGAATGGCTGGTGCTGCCATTCTCCCACTGCAGGCTGTTGTCGCCATTCTCCCTTCTGCAGGTTGCTGTCCTTCACCTGCAGGTGTGAGATCAATCATGGGATGCGACAAGGAAGAGAAGTTGAGCTACTTAAGATTTTGAACTGCATCACAGAAATGAATCAAAAACTATCCAAGAAATGAACCGAAAATTGGACGTTTCTGCTGCTGGTCGCCGGGTGAGAAGAAGGAAGCCACGGCCCACGGCGGTGAACGAAGGAGGAAGCGGAGGCGCGGTCGCGCGGAGGCAGAGCGCTAGGTCTCGCTGAGCCTGAGTCGTTGTCGGCTGTCGCTGACTGAGTCTCTCTGTCTGAAAAAGAAATGAAAGGCAGGAATTGAAAGGCCGAAAGGGAATTGGGCTTGGCTGTGCCGCTCAGTCACTGTGGGCTGAAATTCCATCTGCCTTTTGAATGAGTATAACGGGTACCCATACTACCCAAACGGGTATTTGCGGGTAACCCATATTAGGAATGTACAATCCCAAGTCCCATCCGTTTATAATATTACGGATAATATAGGTACCCATAACCCTTAAAAAACGGGACGGGTACGGGTATACCCAAATACCCGTTTCCCATTGCCCACCCCTAGGGATGGCAACAAAACCCAAACCCACGGGTACCCACCCGACCCAACCTGGTCAACGCGGGTAAAACCCGTGTTGACGGGTTTTGGGCCGGGTTCGGGTTTAAACCCGCTACACTATTCACCGGGTCGGGTTTGGGTATGGGTACCCGCCCCATGGGTACCCGCCCACACACATATAATTACTTTCCCGGTATATTTAATATTCTAAATAATATATCTTCCTTAAACAACTAATATTCTATATGTTTGTGGAGACATATATAATTTGTTCTTTCTAATTGTTTAGAATGAAGTTGATATTATGAAGTGGAGAGTGAAGAAACTTAGTTGACGAGGAAGAAGTTTTCAATTAATCTTATTATTTATATATGTTTATCTTTAATTTTGAACAATTTGTATTGATCATTTGCGGTTTGTTTGTATGCTCTAGATTGGTGTTTTTTGTATGATTAATTTGTATGAGAAAATTGATGTTAAAATTTTATTTTGAAAGAAATTTGTTATTGTAAATTTTTACCACAAAAACCCACGGGTACCCATGAACCCGCGGATACCCAGCGGGTTGGGTTGGGTTTGAGTTTTTCAAACCCAACGGGTTTTACCCGGGGTTTTTTGGCGGATAAACCCATGGGTTTGGGTTTGGGTTTGACAAAACCCGCCCAACCCGACCCATTGCCATCCCTACCCTACTTGATAGACATGTTTTAAGTTATGTGTGTTGTTTGACGGTTGAGAAACCATGCTCGCTCAAACGCGACAAAAAGAAAGACAGCAGCTCTCTCTTCTGAGCTGAGCTCTCTCTTCTCTTCATTCAATATAATGCAGTCGGCCAATTTATGTTGGACATGAAGGTCATCACCACACCACTTATTAGCTTGTAAGATATAGAAGCAAAATCAATACGCAAGCAAATAGCTTCACCCGTCCCCTCTTCAAGTCAACAGCAGCAGTACTAGTGCGTACGATTGATTCCTACTCCAAATCCCTTCCCTTGTCCTTACTTTCCAGCTGCGTGCTGTCCACCATCTCATCTCAAAGTTTTTAGTTTTTAGTGTGTACGGAGGGGTTCACAGCACTCCTCTCTAAAGCTATCTCCGAGAAAAAGTTTGACCGAGGGGGTTAAAGTGGCTCCTCGTGCTCCCCGAATCTCGCATCTTTTCTTTGCTGATGACTCTTATTTATTTCTTCGAGGCTCTCTCTAGGAATGTGAGAACTTGATCGAAGTCTTGAATGTATATGAGGATTTAAGTGGCCAGAAAGTTAACTTGGCCAAATCAGCCGTCTGTTTTAGCAAGAACATAGCTCCTCCCGACCAAGAATTCTTGGCTCAGATTCTAGGGGTCGGGGCGGTAGGGGTCTATGATAAATACTTGGGATTGCCGTCTCTGATTGCCCAATCTAAGATGGTCACCTTCCAATATTTTGAGGAAAAAATACTAGACCGATTAAAGGGATGGAAGCAGCGGACACTATCATGGGCGGCTAAGGAGACTTTGATCAAATATGTTGCCTTAGCTTTACCCTTATATGTGATGTCGTGTTTCAAGTTGCCTCTGTCTCTTTGTCGCATCCTCGATAAGCATGTGGCAAGGTTTTGGTGGGGTATGGGGGATGGTCGTTCCAGGATTCGGTGGATCTACTGGCGTAAGATGTGCACGAGTAAACATGATGGGGGTATGGGTTTTCGTCATTTTGAACATTTTAATCAGGCATTGTTAGCCAAAATTGGTTGGCGTATTTTCTCGGAACCCTAATCACTCTTAGCTCGAGTATATAAAAGGAAATATTTCCCAAATGGTACTTTCCTTGATGCTAAGGCTCGTTCTCGCCCATCCTGGGGTTGGCTGAGTATCAGGGAGTTGTTGAAGGCATGGTTAATCTGGCATATTGGTAATTGTCGGATGGCTTCTTTGCTGCATTCTAATTGGCTTCCTCGTTCGCCTCCCTCTGCCCCGGTCTATAACCCTCGGGTAATCCCGGATGGGAAGGAGCTCCCTGTTGCAGAGGTTATCTGCCAGGGGGAGGGGAGTTGGTGTGACCTGAAACTTAGCTAGTGGTTTAACCCGCCTACCTGTCGGGCCATCAAAGCTCTTCCTCTCCCCCGTCAGAATGTAGAGGATAGATTGATCTGGCATGGCACGAAAGATGGGGTGTTTACTATTAAGTCAGCCTACCACTTTGTTGCCTCTTTGGACAAGCAGAAGAGCCCCTGGCGGTCTATGGCGTGTTGGATGGATCGGGCCAGTTGGATTCGTTTGTGGGAATCCAATATTCCGCCTAAGTTGAAGGTGTTTATTTGACAAATCTTTCACCAAATTCTGCCAACTAGGGAAGCTATTATCGAGAAGGATGTTCCCGTTCTCCCTCGATGCTCGGTTTGCTGGGCAAAATCTGAAACTATGGAACACTTGTTTCTCTATTGTCCGGTGGCACGTGCCTTTTGGGATTACTCGGGGTTGGAGTATCTTGACAAAGGGCTGCCTCGTCTTACTTTCCTTTTGTTCCTAAAGAAGTTTATGTCTTTCGTACATCAGCCTGATTTGTTTATGGCAATTGTGGTGGTCCTTTGGCGGATCTGGAGGTCTCGTAACTGGGTTGTCTTTGAAGGCAAACAGTATGGGTTTCCTGCTTTGATGCGCCAGTACCACCAAGAATACGAGGAGTAAGGGTGGGCACGTGGGTGGTTCATCCGCGGATTGATATCGATCCACCCGCAAATAACCCGACCCGCACGCAATGGATGATTGATGTGGGTGGATTGCGAATTGGTAAATCTCCCACCCACACTTATGTGGGTGGATGGTGGGTAGATTGCGGGTCACCCATATGACCTGCATCCTATTTTTACATGAAAAATGTTGTTTCTTATAGTATCGAATATTCATCATATTTTCGAATTGCACTACAGTCTGACCATATACTTCATAAGGTGAAGAATAAATAATAGTTTTGACTACTTTTATTGGTCATTGTGCTGTGCAATATCCATTAGATATTGGATATTGGTATGCAGATTATTGTTAATAATCATTAAATATTGGGATGCAAACTATAAATTATTAATTGTATCAAAATCACAAATTATTGATACAATCTTACTAATTTTGCTATGAACTTATTATAAATGTTAGCCAACTTTCTTAATGGCTAGTTGGAGAATTGTTTTTTCGGGTTGACCCGCGACCCAACCGCACCCATCCGCCACTCACCCAACCCAACCCACAGAAGTATGTAGGTGGTTTGCGGTTCACAATTATTTCAACCCGCTAGTAAGCGGGTGGGTCAATTTGAGACCAAAATCCACCCAACCCGCCCATTGCCCACCCCTAACGAGGAGTGGGTAAACTTGCCAGTGGATCGGGTGCCTCAATCTTCCATCCCTGTAGTGCAGCAAAGTGGCCCTGTGGGGGCAGATATGGCTGTTTGTATGTGGGATGGGGCTATCCAGAGTGGTCCCATTCGACAGGAGGGATGGCCATTTTGACCCCTGATAGGGAGGTCCTTTTGGCTAAAGGAATCCAGTTCTCGGTAATTGATGATCCAATGGTCGTTGAATTGCTTGGCTCCGGGAGGCTATCCTATGGTGCCAAGGACTGGGCTTCACGGAAATGAGGTTTGAAGGGGATGCTCAGGTGATCATTGAGAAGATTAATCAGGCAGATACAAGGGAAAACCGGATGGGGATCATTCTTGAAGAGCTCGTGCAATACTTTGTCTACAACTCGAGATTTAGTATTCGATTTGTAGGTCGGCTTAGTAATAGGGTAACCCATATGGTGGCTAGAAAGGCCCTCTCTTTGTACCCGACTTTGAGTCATTTCTTTGATTTTCATGCCTAGCTGAATTCCAGGATGTAACTATCTTTTGCTCGAATCAATATAAGATTATTTTTGTAAAAAAAAACAATTAGCGGGATTCAATATAAATCAAGAAAACTATGTTGAGTCTTAAACTACTTTAAGTACCGAGCAACAATTATTACTAGGCGTTGGAATTCTCCACCAATAAAACTTTTCTCTCTTTCAAAATCTAAAGTATATCTAGATATTTTTGGGTCTATTTTCACAATATATATGAATAGATGGATAAAGTTTCACTAAAATGAAGGAGTTATTTTTAATTATAATATATACCAATAGAATAGACAAAATATGATGATTTATAGTTTCAAAATTTAACAAATAAGGTATGGTTTTAGACAAAGGTTACACAAATTCTATCACTATATTTTGAGGAGGATCTAACTCCGTAACAGTATTGGGGGGGGGGGGGGGGGGGGGGGGGGGGGGGGGGGGGAATGCATATCCTTTGTTATGGATGCAATTATTTGATGTTCTTACAACTTTCGTTTCGAATTTGGTTCGGTTCGAATTATTTGATGTCCGAGATATAGTTCGGTTCGAATTTGGTTGGGCCACGGGAGACTTCGGAAAATCGGCATATCCCTGTTCGATTCGGTTCAAACTGAACCGACCGAGCACCCACCCCTACTCCAAATCCCTTCCCTTGTCCTTACTTTCCAGCCGCGTGCTGTCCACCATCTCATCAGTCATCTCAAAGTAAAAAGCCTGCACTCAGTCTAGCTTTTAGTTTAATGGGTTTACGTACGTACGTTTGACAGCAGCAGGTTTCAGAAACAGCTCTTTCCATTCCCGGGAGGGGAAGAGAACAAATTTCACTTTCCCCAACCTGGCACGTTTGATGGGCTCTTCCATGAATGTTTTGGACTATTTATTAAACTTCATTCATTAATGACTCCCCTGACCTGACCTCTGTTCTGTGGTGGAGCAATGAAAGAGAGCCGAGGGGAGGGGTGACGCCACGCCTTATTTGTACGGGCGTATTGTTATGAATAAGCAGTTTAGTTTGCTTATTTCTCCACGTTGATCAACAACATTGCCACCGCTGAGAGGATATCAAAATCCTATACCTAATGCCAGACATGCATTACTAGAGCATACCCAACTTGATCATTACCGATTGAGAGAAATGCTGCTTCTAAATCATTGAAATCCAAAATCAGCAGCACAAATTGTAACATGCTCATCAATGAATACATACCAAGTCCCATGAATATAATATATACTAGAGTAGCATGACCTCGCTTCGCAGCGGCTTGGGGAGCGATTTTCGGTTGATTTTCATGACCCATAATTTTGCGTCAGACCCGCAAGATTTCATGTTATGATTTTCATTATTATAACTACTAAGAAGTTAGCTTCTTTTCGTGAATAATTTAAGAAGTAGGGAGTGACTTTGAGGAAAATTTATGCATATCTAGCTTAGAAAGAGTCAGCATGACACCACCTTGGGCTAAATAGGAATGAGTATATGGATCATAAATGAAGGAAGATGAGAGTACGAACACAAAGGCACAAACATAGATGGATTTGGACACCATATGATCATTTGAAAGCCTAGAGAAGTAGTCCAAATAGTGTAGTTGTTAGAGTTAGTCAATAGAGTTGTAATACGACATTGATGGGAGAAGTAAAGTATAAAGATGGAGTATTTTGGTAGTTATATTAATTAATTAACGTTTGAATATTGTGAAAAGAAGTGTCCTTCAAGAAAAGTAACTCCCTCTTTTCTGTGAAAGGATGTGTCCTTTCGTGAGAGGTAACTACCTTGTTTTGTGAAAGGATGTGACTCTTCGGAAGGTAACTTCCAGTTTTCACAACTATAAATAGATGATTGCCATGACTCTTTTGAGAACGTGAGATTACTTCTTCTTCTGGTTTTCCTTCTCTATTTCACAAACACAGAAGTCTGCAAGATTGCTGCTTCCAGACTTAAAATTGAAGGGACTCCTGGGGGTGGTTTACTCGAGCCTACCAGCAATTTGTAGTGGGGGCAAATAACACTCTAAGGAGAGTGATTAATCACGCCTTCAATCGATTCTTTCCTACCAGTTTTCTGACAATCTTAGAGTGTTATTTGCTATTGGAAAAATGAATTATGGAGTGGAAAGTATGTTGAAGGCCTGCGTTCATTTGAGATGGAACGTTGCATGCATTGCTAAGAAAAAATGTCATGATCCAAATTTGCTTCTATTAGTTGCTCCCGAAGGAAAGGAAAGGAAGCATTTCGAGATCCCTAAAATCGGGTAACACCCTGTTCCTTTTTAATTTTTGGTGTTGAGACTTGAGAGTGGGATTTTAATTTGATTCCCACCGGTAATAGAAAGGAATTTGATTCCTATTGTCTCTACGTGAGGGAAATTATTATGATACTCTATATCTATATATGTTCAATCTAGTTCATGTATTGATTGTATGGATTGGAGGTTAATGTCTGCATTCGTTTATAATTAGTCAAATTACTTTGGATGGCAGTAGATTGCATAAAGTTGATTAGATTATGATGAGAAAGGAATCTGATCATTCATGCATGCATATATATGCCTCAGATATTTACACGCCATAGTCACTGTTGTTGGTTAATGATTATATATATGTTCATCTGCATATATATGTTTCACTCTGCATATACGTTTTAAAAAAATTTGCTTTCGGCCGTTGGCAAAATCTTGTGATTTGGTGTGTTTCGATGGAAATTTGCTTGGGCAATGTTCGGACAATTGCCGAGAAACGCCGGAAAGAAGAGGGAAAAAGTGGCATTCGGTCGTCATTGACATCGATGGAAAATGGCATTTGACAAGAATCGGAAATAGGTAATACTCTATCCATATCTCTTTTAATTCTTGGTGCTTTCTGAGGGATGATGTATATATATAGTTCTATATATATATATATATATATATATATATATATATGTGTGTGTTCCCTCTGTATATCTGTAATTAACTGTGTGACATGGATTAATTGACGTTGGTTAATTACATGGATTAATAATGATTAATGAATCAGATTTGTCATATTTAATTGCAACGCACGTTTATATCAGAAAGGTATATGTATACATTAGAGAGGTGTATATATATACATGTCTTAATAGCGGCCGTATGTGTCGGTTCTGTACAAATTGGAAAATGCATATGGGATTGGATTTATCAGTTAAGTGGCCATGTAATTTGTTGTTTGCAACCTGTAGCTTCTGAAAGTGATGTAGTAACTCTACACGTTGGCTTTCTTGCTTCGAGAAAAACAGAGGAATAATTAACCAATTGAGTTTGGTTAGTGAGATCAAGTACTTTTGTAGTACTTGAGATGTGAACGAACTCATAATTCGTATTATGAGAAGAGTTCGAAAGAGTTCAACTTGATTGAATATGAAAGAATTCTTGATGGAGTTCTTAAAACAAATTTTGAATATGAAAGAATTCTTTCATAATGGAGTTCTTAAAACAAATTTTGTCGCCAAAATTTGTATGAGTTTCAATATTGATGCTTGCAAGATGCAACAATTTGGTTTATTCAACAAAATTGTTTGAGTTATGATCTTGAAGTCAATTGAAATCATGTATGTGGTTTATGACTTCATGTTTCCTATGGCTATGAGTGCAAGGAAAATGAAACTAAAATTGGTCCTTGTTGGGATTGAATAAGCTTGCCAAAGAATTGTTTCCTATGATCATCAAGATAAACATATGATCAGAATTGTTTATGGTATATGTACACTACATCATTGGAAAACAATTTGACTTATGATGATGAATTTGAAGCTATTTGTCAGAATTGTTTATGGTATATATAGATATATACCATTGGAAAACAATTTGGCATGAGAGTTCAATTGAGATGATCTTATTGAACATAAATTCTGAATTACTTATGTTATATTTATGAAGTGCATATCATTGGTAAGTAATTAGACTATTGATTTAGAATATTCATTTGAATTGCTTGAGGTATGTCAAGTTACCTTGATGAAAAGTCATTGGTAAGTAATTAGATGGTATTTCCAATACAATCTGGAAATGCAACTGAATTACTTGTGGCATCTCAAGTTACCTTAACTAATTCCATTGGTAAGTAATTAGATGATATTTCTAATGATATCTGAATTGTTTGTGGTATGCTAACTTAATAAGTCCATACCATTGGTAAACAATTAGATCAATGTAGCGGTTGAAAGTTCAATAAGTAATGCAAAATAAAACGGAATTGTTCCATGATAGTTTGGCAAGTGGGAGAATTGTGGGGGAGATGTTTCTCATGATAGTTGGATAACAAGTGCTAGTGATAATAAATCTACAATGGGTAGATTTTTATACTAGGTGGTGGAGTTGTTTCTTGGGTTTTGAAGAAACAAAATGTGTATTACACTCCACCATGGAAGATGAATTTCTAGCCCTTGCGGCGGCTGGAAAAGAGGCAGAATGGCTAAGAGACATGTTGTTAAGTACAGAGTTGTGGCCACAACCGATGCCAGCCATTTCTGTCTTTTGTGATAATGAGGCTACTTTGTCGAGAGCTTATAACATATTTACAATGGTAAGTCTAGAGCTACTCGCTTATGACATGAACATGTTAGATATTTGATTACTAATGTAATCATTTCTATTGTGTATGTAAGATCGCTCAATAATGTGGCAAATCCTCTTACCAAAGGATTGCCAAGAGGCATGATCTATGAGGCATCCCAAGGGAAGGGATTGAGACCTCTTGTGTAGTAAGAAGTAACGGGAACCCAACCTTTTCTTTAGGTATTCACTAATTAAAAGGTTCAATGTGGTAATAACAAGTTACTATAACTGAGGTACTATTTTATTGTACAAGTAAATTAGTCCAAAGAAGGGTGAGTTATAGAACTCTTGAGATGAGTTATAGAACTCTTAATGAATTCATTTGGAATGTCACCTATGTGAGCATTTAGAGTGGTGCCGCTCTAACAAAAGTAGAGGTCAAATTTTGTGTATGCTCATGAAACAGGATTAGCACATGGCCATAATAGTGCTACCCTAGTTGGTGGTTGTGGTTTAGAGAAGAGACAAGTACGTGTGTGGCATCTCCGGTTATAGCTTTGGATCGTGACTCCTAGGCTTAAGCCCGTCACTGATTCGTTATCAACTTTGAGTTGCTTACACTAGGTAAAGGTTCAAATCGAAAAGATACCTTTATGTATGCGTTACTTGTTCGAGGCAGGTATTCTCAACTCTTGTTGACTAAGTGGGGGATTGTTAGAGTTAGTCAATAGAGTTGTAATACGACATTGATGGGAGAAGTAAAGTATAAAGATGGAGTATTTTGGCAGTTATATTAATTAATTAACGTTTGAATATTGTGAAAAGAAGTGTCCTTCAAGAAAAGTAACTCCCTCTTTTCTGTGAAAGGATGTGTCCTTTCGTGAGAGGTAACTACCTTGTTTTGTGAAAGGATGTGACTCTTCGGAAGGTAACTTCCAGTTTTCACAACTATAAATAGATGATTGCCATGACTCTTTTGAGAACGTGAGATTACTTCTTCTTCCGGTTTTCATTCTCTATTTCACAAACACAGAAGTCTGCAAGATTGCTGCTTCCAGACTTAAAATTGAAGGGACTCCTGGGGGTGGTTTGCTCGAGCCTACCAGCAATTTGTATTGGGGGCAAATAACACTCTAAGGAGAGTGATTAATCACGCCTTCAATCGATTCTTTCCTACCAGTTTCCTGACAGTAGTAAGCTTACCTTTGACCATGGTCAAAGGGGTCAAAAGAAGTTCATTTTGAGCTGCAATTGAAGGACCGATCGAATGAGTCCACGATGAACCATTTCACCAAAATCTGTCCATTTAGAGAAGAATTTTAACGATGGTCTAGGCCACCGTGTGGGAGCCACTGACCCAAAAAGCTTCTGGAAGCTTATTTCTTTACCCCCAAGGTAGTATTCAATTTTCAACAGTGTTGGAGAAGGATTTAAACTCCTTTTGGTCGAAAACCCCCCTTATTTATTACTGTAAATAGAGGTTTTGGTTAGAGCTTTACACACACCTTTTACGTACAAATAAAAAGCTCCTAGAATCAAGCCTTGAACCCTCGATTAGGAAGGGTAAGATAACTTCTTTCGAAGTTTTGGCCTTTCCTTGCATGAAAGAATTTACATAGTTTAATCATATTAGCATCCATTGGTGAGATGAAGTTTTGCTGAAGTTCAATGTTGATGCCTTCATCATTGATGGTGATATCATCTATCTTATGGCTAGCTAAATCCCTCATTGTTTAAAATATGAATTCTATGATTCTTTATGTATTACTTCCAATGATTTAATAATATGCCTATGATATTTTATGTTTTATCATCTATGATGTATGTTATTTTGGTTCTACGCATAATATTATTATGGGTTGCTAGGAAACTTCTCTTACATGATATACCATCGATGTACGTATGTGTGTATGAATGCATATAATAATTACTTGATAGTTATAGATCACCAAAGCCAAGGACCAATTCTATATGTGTTAATATAGGACTTATGTAGCCAAGTGCAATATATTCTTATTTGTTTGTGACTGATGGGTTACTAGCATGAAGCGAAAGCACGCATTAGTTAATCGTATTCCTATTTATATGAAGCGAAACCTCAATTGTGAATATTTTATTAGAAGAGATTAGGCATCATAATAGAAGTAAATCATGAATGCATTATCAATAATGTGTCACTACAAAAAAAGACGTTCATTACTGACGACTCGTTTCTTCTATATAAGTAAGATTTCATCAGAAATGGTTATTACTGATAACGATGTAATTGCACATGTTTGCGCCCCTAGTTCTTATCCGTTTGAGGGGCATAGTCATGTGTTTTGGCCTATTTTACGCCGGGTTGTGCTATTTTGTCATATTTCAGGTCCCAGGCGTCAAAGGGAAGGCTAACCACGAGTTTTGGGGCATTCGGAGGTCATTTCGTCAAGCTGGGGCCAAAACACGGGCACACCTAAGGCATTACACGGCCGTGTTCCTGTGGCCGTGCTTTTTATGCCGAGAGCTGAGTTGATTACACGGGCAGGGCCGAGACAAAGCACGGCCGTGTTCCACCAAAGCACGGCCGTGTTTCTCCCCAACTGCTGGCCGTGTAATTAACACTGGCCGAGACACGGGCACGCTCAGGCAAAGCACGGCCGTGTCCTCGACCGTGCTTTGGCCACTGATGCCTTTTTAAGCAGATTTTCAGCCAAACAGAAGGGGATTCGAGTTTTTGAGAGATAGAACGATTCCTAGAGAGAGAAAGTGACGAACAAGAGTCTCCAAGTGCCCTAGATTGATCTTCAACACCATTGGAGGCCAGTTTGAGCTTGGAGAAGTGCCAATCAACGTCCAGGAGCAGGAATCCATCCTTCACAGTATGAATTCCGCGTCTGATTCTGCTTTTGCTTCTTTCTCCATGGAGTAGTTCTCCCATTCATCTGGGTATGGAGAACCCTAGATTTGTATGTTAGGCCTTGATTGTATGAACCCAAGTACTGATTCTATGATTGATTATATTCGATTGAGGTTTGCATGATTGAATGACTTGAATCCTGATCAAATTCCTGTTGTTTCTGCTTTAACCTAGAATGAGAATATCTGCCTAGGTTGATAGAGCATCCTTGATTGAAGGTAGGGAGTTGGTGACTTTAGTCGAGGAACCAACTCACTATTCTGTACCGGATTTACTCCGGTAGTGGAGGTTTTGTTCTTAGGGCCTCAATCTGTCTACTCCGGTGGAGGTTAGTCGCCCGCTAGAGATTCAGATTGAGAGGATCTGAAGACCTTTAGTCGAGAGTTCAGGCTGTTTAAGAACCTTCCGCAGTATAACTATCATAGAAACTGAACTTGGTAATTACAATCCGGCTTAACTGCAGTCTAGGGGGAACCATATCCGGGTGACCTCTCTTAACCTGAATACAACCGTTTACTTGCTTTGTTTGTTTGGTAGTTTAGACTTGCATTCCAGTTTCATTGCTAGATAACAAGAATTCACTGAGTAGTCATCAAATCTAGGACCCGGGTTGATAATTAAACCCAAACCCGCTATACTACACTTTAGGAAGTAGTTTCACTTGGCCAATTCCTGGAGTGACAGTAGAGTCGAGTCAATTACCGACAACATATGGTCACTGATCTTCGTCAGAAAAACCCCTGTCTGTATTACTTATCACTGATGCCCCATTGATAACACCCAAAGTAGTGTTATTTATCCTCTATATTTTAGGTCATTCTATGATTTCAAGGGTTAATATATCGTCAAATGCTTATGATTTAGGCACAAATTGGGGCACAAGCGTAGGGTTTAAAGGCCAAAATGGAGTTCGCAGTCAAAGGAGTCAAGATCACAGTCGGTATCCAGGAGACCATGAAATCTAGCAGAAGATTGACCTCAAGCCAAAGTTCTTGCCCACGATCATTGAGGAGGCAACCTCGAATTCGAAGAAGCTGGAAGCAAAGGAAGACAGAAACTCTCGATAGTCGACTTGCTTTAACTTTCGAGATTGCGAGAAAAGATCGTAGCCACGACTTCAAGATCGCGAACGCAATGTCAAGCTACAAACTCCCGCGGTAGAAGAGCTAGAATAGTGTCGCTCAAGATTGTGGCCTCTAACTAAAGATCGCGGTCGCGATCTCTTGCCTAGTGCTCTTGAACTTCCGCGCATTTCCAGAACTCTATAAACATATACAGGGGTCACCTCCCCTTTGTAGAGTGGCTTTTGGCCGATTTCTTGTTCTATAGTGAGGTTAGATAGAGAAGTAGAAGGTTGGAGAAGAAGAAGTGGAGTAGAGTTTTGGAGAAGGATTTCCAACACTTGAAGACCCTTCTTTCTGATTTCTAACCATCTATTAATGTCTCTTCTTCTCCCTTCATGGGTAGTCCCTCAAGGTACTCTGGAGCTTAGTACCCGAAATCCTAACCTAGGGTTTGATATGTAAAAGGGTGTTTAGGCTTGAATTATGGATGATTGTGAACCTGTTTATCTATCTATATTTCATGCTTGTTCTTTCTACACATCAAGTAGTGTGGGATTGTCTGTATCCCCTTTTCCCTAGTTGCAACTTCGGTGGTAGGGGATTTATCATTCTCTTTCTTGTGATTTATGGATGAATTGTGTTTGCATAGAGTTTTTATTGCTCCATCTATGATTATTATGCTTTAGATTTGTCTTCTGATTGTTATTTATGATTGCTTAGTTAGGCTTTGATAATCTAGGTTATGTGAGCGTTGTTGGTATGATAGGTTATGATGGTTTATCTAGGAGTTTAGTATGGTGCACGAGGCGATCGTACCCCCTACCTATTAGGTGTCCACCTACGAAATGTTAGGGCGTCGAGTGCATGACCATCAACTCGATTGCCTAGTGTGCTGATGGGTAGAGCCCATTTAGAGGAGATAGGTTATCCCTGCATCGTGAGGCTAGTTGAGGTGACATTGGGCTGGTGGATTGGTGAAGGAAGGGGTTGGTTGCATGACCATTCAACGAATCCCTAGATTAGTGATCACTGCACCTCGATCACCGTGGATCGCCCTTTTATACTTTGCCTGTTATCTCCAATAGTTAGGGCGATTGAGGTTAACTAGATAACAACCGCACAAGCCTAAGTAGCCTAGGATACCGTGACCAGTAGAATACGACTGAGCCACTTTATTACATCCATAACATTGTTATACTTAGCATTGTTAGAATAGATGTGAGTGTGCATCGTACTAATTAAAGCTTCCCATCACCCATTGAAGAGACTCTTATTACTAAAGCGATTTTCTCGTAGGTTTAGTAAAGCACAATGTCCAAAATGAAAAAATTCATGATGAAGAATGATGATGAATACTTTTACCGAGAAAAATGAATACTTCTACATTCATTCATGACGATATTTTCTATCCATCATAATTTTGTTTTAAAATATCATATACCAAATCATATGATTTTCCATCTATATTCATTTATACAAAAAATACATATTGTTGTATGTTTAGTACCACCATAGCAAAATAATCATATACATCAATTTGTTGTCGACCTTTAATATATATATATATGCGCCTTTCTCAATAGCAAAATAAAGTAAGCATTAAAATACTAAGGATAAATAACAATTATAGGGTTATGATAATTAGTGTTTAGCCGAGTAGGTGAGTAATTTGAGGAAGGCTTTTTGGTATCTTTGTTAAATACTAAGTTTGTTTTACTTTCCATTATACTTGTGGCTGTAATGGCACAACATACTTAGTGCCCAAGAATTACAAAATGCTGAGTTGCAATGGAGCATTGGCAATGGATCCTTCGTCACTTTCAAAAAAAAAAAGGCAATGGATCCTTCGTCACTTTCAAAAAAAAAGGTGTGGGGAGATAAATGGTTACCTGTTGAACCACATTTTGTTACCTTAGTGTCTATGTGACTAGAAGAGAGAGAATCGCTCGGCCCTCTCTCCTCCTTTGTGACCGTTGTGATGTCTGGTGAGTTGAAGCCTCCGGCGACGGAGGTGGACCACTGTCTCAAGCCGCCGGATGGATCGCCGGCCGGCTCGTCTGTTCAGCCTAGCATAAAGTCGAAGGCCAGCACCAGCGAGGGGTTCTCCGACTAGGGGAAAATGAACTTCGCGATTGTCACCGCGAATGAAATGCTCAGCGACCAGGGGCGGACCAGATCTGCAACCCGATCCAACTGAAAAGGAGCAGCCAAGCTACCAGAAGGAATGGGAACGATCTTGATCTTGTTGTCTATTTCATTCGAGGATTAGGTGAAGAATTCCAGTCTTTTTCAACTATCGTTCGTGCCCGAGGCTCTGGTCTCACCCTTGAGGATCTTGTAGACTCACTCGTTGAATATGAGGCTGACCTCAAGGCACGGTAGCCCACAGCCGTTCCCACTGCTTTCTACACGCAAGGACAACGCCCTAGCGGCTCTTATAGCTCTCGCCCTCTCCGCAGCGGTATTCTTCCGCAACCCTAATCGGACGCCTCGTCCCCAAGATCCAACACAGGGGTCCTCCAACGGGCATCAAGCCCATCCTCTCCTGGCAGCTCGTCTACAGCTTCTCCTCGCCGGGCCCGCTTGGTATGTCAATATTGCGAGAAACCTGGGCACTCTGTGCGCCAGTGTTTCCAACTATTTCCACAAACCCACCCGGTCCATCTTCAGCCCCGCCAGGACCACTCGACACATGCAGCCCCCTCTTCGGTGCCATCTGCGCCGAGTTCAGCTCCTCCAAATCCATGGCTGATGGATTCAGCCGCATCTCATCACGTCACTACTGACCTCGGGAATCTCTCACTTTATTCGGACTATGCAGGCCCTGACGAGATAATTATTGGCAATGGCTCAGGTTTGCAGATAAGCCATATTGGCTCTTCTCAACTCGCTACTGGCTCTCACACTCTTTCATTACATGACGTTTTACACTTCACTCGTTACACATGGTATTATCCTCTTTGTCGAAAATCTTATGTGCTTCAAGTGTTTTTAGATTTTCGTACCATGGTTGAGAATTATTTTCTACCACCATTCGTCGCATTTATAGTGATGGTGGTGGTGAATTCCAAAAGCTATGTTCTTCTCTCCGCACTCATGGGATAAGCCACCTGCTTACTCCTCCTCACACTCCGGAGCACAATGGCTTAGCCGAACGTAAGCATCGACACCAGGTTGAAACCGGTATCACTCGCCTTCATCATGCCCATCTCCCATCTCGTTTTTTGTCATTTGCTTTCTCCACTGCGATTTATCTTATCAATCGCATGCCTTCCTCCGCTCTTCGTGGCCAAATACCACGCACTTCTTTTTAATTAATCACCATTCACAAACTTAGAATTTTTGGTTGCTAATGTTACCCTTGGCTTCGTCCTTACTCCACCTCTAAGCTCGACCCTCGTTTCCGCTCATGTCTCTTTCTAGGTTACTGCCCGCAAAGAAGTGCTTATAGGTGTTTTGATCCGCTCACCAATCGTGTTTATCTCTCTCGTCATGTTCGATTTGTGGAAGATGTGTTTCCAGGTTATACTTCACCGACTGCTATTGTCCCTTCCTTGCCTGCGACGTGGTTATTGGAATCTGGTCCACCTGTCACTCTCCTCCCTGTGGCTCGACCCATACACACGCCTGCCAGGGCTCAAGATTTGGTGAATAAGAGGGGGGGGGCCTTAGTCATCAGACTAAGCCTCTCTCAACCGTTGATTACTTTTTAGATCTGACGGTGGAATAGCCTAGCAGTAGGGACGGGGGCGTTTTGGGAGAGGAGAGAGAATCACAAACCATTTTTCCACCATTTTTCACGGGAGAGAGACTTCTTCTTCTCCGTTTCCCCCATTTTCTCATATTTGCCATTTTCGTCTACAAATTCGTCAGTTACGTCGGCGTTCTTCCTCGTCCGGCGCGGCGGTTTCCATCGAGAGTCTTCCTCGTTCGGCGCGGCGCGTCGCTCTCTGTTTCAGCGGCTTCGTCGGCGGTTGTTTCAGCGGCTTTCATCCGGCGGTTTCCTTTTTCGGGCTGTCTTCCTTTGCGTCGGCGGTCTTCCTCGTCCGGCGGTTTCCATCGAGAGTCACTCACTCTCTGTTTCAGCGGCTCCGACGGCGGTTTCCATCGACATTTTTCATTTTTCCCCTTTGCGTTGGCGGTGTGTCGGGCTCAACTCGGCAGGCTTTCTTCTCGCTTCTCCGTCTGCGCCGACGCCGGCGATTATTTGTGAATACGAAGACCGCTTTTTGGGTAAGTCAAAACCGCATTTCTTATTTCGGCAATTCTCTAAAACCCTAACCGATTTTGATGCTAGGTCAGAATCACATTTTTAATTGTGGGTTGATTTCTGGGTTTGTATTGTTGGAATAGGTTGGTTGTATACTTTCTGGGTTTCCTTGTATTGATTGTTTAGTAATGTTTGTGTGTTTTCATACCTCTGTTTGTACTCTTCATGGTTCATACAGTTTGTGCACTTTGTTTCTCATGTTCATACAGTTTGTACACTTTGTTTCATATGTTCATATAGTTTGTACAGTTTGTGCACTTTGTTTCTCATGTTCATACAGTTTGTACACTTTGTTTCTTATGTTCATATAGTTTGTACAGTTTGTGCACTTTGTTTCTCATGTTCATACAGTTTGTACACTTTGTTTCTTATGTTCATATAGTTTGTACAGTTTGTGCACTTTGTTTCTCATGTTCATACAGTTTGTACCCTTTGTTTCTAATGTTCATATAGTTTGTACACTTTGTTTCTCATGTTCATATAGTTTGTACACTTTGTTTCTCATGTTCATATAGTTTGTACACTTTGTGCGGTTTGTACAGTTTATTACTCTGCTTCGTATGGTTTGTTATATTTGTTGGTTGACTTGTTCTGTTGTTGCTTTTGTAGCTGTTAAGTAAGGATGGTAGAAGGTTCAGAGGTGGGAGGGTGAAGTACCCATGCTGCTGAAGCTGAAGTTACTAAAACCAAGAGGAAGGGGGAGAACCTTAAGAATAAGGGGAAGGCAGTTCAGCTTTCTGATACAGGGAGAAGGAAAAGAAAGGTTGTTGCTGGAGAGAAGCAGAAGGCAGCAGTTCGTGCAAAAAGGCAGAAGCAAGCTCCGGGGGGAGGGAATGAAGCTGCTTTGAACTATCGATGCAGCCCGAAAGAGGTTATGAGTCATGTGCTGCCTCCTTTATCTCTTGGCAGGGTGCAATTAATTAAGCAGCTGGGGTTGGATTTTGTCTTTTCGCTGAAGATGAAGAATCTGGACAATGAACTTATTAAGTTCATTATTTCAAGGTGGGATGGGAAGAATAACTGTATCCACTTGGATGATGGAAAGAAGATTTGTATTACGGAAGAGGATGTTTACAGAGTTTATGGTCTTCCAAGGGGACCAAATGCTGTGTGTTTGCAGAAAACATCAAAGGTGAATTCTGACCTTGGTAAAGATTATGGTTTCAGTAAAACTGGGAATGGTACTGTTGGTTTTGAGAATTTGAGGGCTTGTATGGGAGCGGAGAAGTCTGATTCTAGGTGGGTGAATATGTATGTGCTGATGATTTTTTGCCGCCTTTTCGAATCTGTTACATCTAGGACGGTGACAACAAAATACTTGACTTTTCTTTCTCAAGGAATGGTTAAGTATTTTTGTGACTATGATTGGTGCGGTTATGTGTATGGTCTCATTTGTAATAAGGTGACATCAAGTCAGCATCACAGTTGGGTTGAGGGAGATATGCATTTCTTGCTTGTTTGTTTCCTCGATAGGACAACTGTGAATGAGGAAGAGGCCAGCCGCTGTGTTAGTAATTTGGTGCCAACCTGTCAGTTGTGGAGTTCGACAAATTTGAAGCAAAGGAAGGCAGAAATGGAGAAGAAGTTTGGGAAGGATTTTGGTAAGGTGTTTGTTCTAAGAGATGCACCCATTTCTTCTACTACTCGTCCGAAGATGGCTCAGAGTATTAGTGGTTTTGAGGTTGCTGGAGGTGAGAAGGGTTCTGGTATTGGAGATGAATTTCCAGATTTCGATTTGAATCTGGATGGCAAAAATGTTCAAGAGGTGAGTTTGTATGATTTTGTATGTGTTCTTTGCTTACTTTGTACAGATTGTTCATATGCTTTATATGCTTTATGATATGTTTTCTGTAGTGTTTATACTGTCTGTATATTTTGTACTGTTTGCACTGTTTGTACACTTTGTATGTTTTTCTCTCATCCTCTGTACTGTCTGTATACATTGTACTTGCACTGTTTGTACACTTTGTATGTTTTTGTCTCATCCTTTGTAATGTCTGTATAGTTTGTATCTTTTTGCACTGTTTGTACACTTTGTATGTTTTTGTCTCATCCTTTGTACTGTATGTATACTTTGTATCTTTTTGCACTGTTTGTACACTTTGTATGTTTTTGTCTATGACTTTGTATTGTTTGTATACTTTGTATCTTTTTGCACTGTTTGTACACTTTGTATGTTTTTGTCTATTACTTTGTACTGTTTGTATTAATTGTGTACATTATCTAACTTATGTTTGTGTTTTCTTTTATTTGTTTTGTTGTAGGTTAAGTTGATTAGGAGAAGGTTATAAAGTGCATTATGTGAGTTGGAACAGCAAGGTAAGCTGTACCGAAGACAGATAAATCAGTGTCACCTATACCTAGCTGATATCGAGGTGCACACTGATTCTGAAGGTGTTGAATTTGTTGAGAAAGTTACAACAAATGTTTCTGAAGGTGCTGAAGTTGTTGAGAAAGCTACAACAACTGATAATGTAGAGAGTGAGAGTGAAGGCGGGTATCAGAGTGAGAGTGGGAGTGGGAGTGGGAGTGGGAGTGGGAATGGAAGTGGGAGTGGTAGTGATGGTGATGGGAGCGATGATGGTGATCAGAGTGGTGACGATGATGATGATGGAGATAGGAGTGAGGAGGAAACTGATGATGATGTAGCTCTATTTAGTCTGAAGAAGCCAGCTCTTGTGCGGCAGCAGCCAGCAGTGGAGAAGATTGGAAGTGCTCGTACTCCAGCACTTCCGCAGCAGCCAACTGAGCTCCAGAAGACTCCTGAACTTGTGCGGCAGTAGCCAGCAGTGGAGAAGATTGGAAGTGCTCGTGCTCCAGCACTTCCGCAGCAGCCAGCTGAGCTCCAGAAGACTCCAGCACTTGTGCGGCAGCAGCCAGCAGTGGAGAAGAGTGGAAGTGCTAGTGATCCAGCACTTCCTCAGCAACCAGCTGAGCTCCAGAAGACTCCTGAACTTGTGCGGCAGCAGCCAGCAGTGGAGAAGACTGGAAGTGCTAGTGATCCAGCACTTCCGCAGCAGCCAGCTGAGTTCCAGAAGACGCCAACACTTGTGATGCAGCAGCCAACAGTGGAGAAGGATGGAGTTACTCGTGATCCAGCAGTTCCGCAGCCCTTTGATTCAACACTTCAAAAGCAGCCAGCAGAGGATGGAGTCGTGGCAACCGCAGTTTCCGAGGAGCTGCCACTTAAGGATAGTATGGAAGTTGTTTTACAGATTGCACAATCTGTGGAGGCAGGTGCTGATGGTGAGCGGGGTGACAAGCTTGATTAGTTAATGATGGTGGTTATTTAAATTTGTAGTACATCTTTTAAATATGCACTTTATGATTGGTTTGTATGGTTTGTACTCTTTGTCGTACTATTTGTACACATGTTGTGTGTACACACTACTTGTGGATTGCAAACTAGATCTTATGGTTTATTAATTATCTAGTTTTCTGTCTTTATGTCTTTTGTAATGTGCTATATTGTTTCATCTTTGTTGTTTTGGTTGTGAGAAGACGAGTCAAATAGTGATGATAACGATGAGGTTGGGATTGAAGATGATTGTGATGATATTTCTATTGATAACGCTGAAGATGAGTCAAATGGTGAAGATGAGAACAAGAATGGCGTCGAAGGTAATCGTTATGTTTGTAGTTGGTGCTGTCCTTTAGTCTCGTTTACTGCAGTTTTAATCTTTTTGTACACTTAGTTACTTTTTCTGCTGCTGTTTGTAATGTTTGTACATTTAGTTACTTTTTCTGCTGCTGTTTGTAATGTTTGTCTGCTTTGTTTGTGTTGTCTCTATTTTGTTAGATTCTGGGTCGAATGTTGATTTCGTTAATCAAAGACGCTCGAAAAGGGAGCTCAAGCCATCCAATTTAAAGAGGACACCATATACTACTGGTAATAAAAAGCGTAAACCTCCTTCCATGAAAGCACCTATTCCTATTCGGCAAAAAAAAGAAAAAACCTACCTCCAAGAAGGTAGAGAAGGTAGCTCCACTTCGGACTAGTAGCCAACTATTGTATGAAGAAAAACTTATTCAATATGCTTGGAGTGACAGATTTCCTGTGTAAGTTTCATTTCATACTGTTTGTATACATTTATATATAAGTTTGTACTTTTCTTCTTCGGTTAGTGAATTTAATATAAACTGTTTGTCTACATTTTTAGGAATGAAATTCTTTTCGACATGGGTGAAGGTGAGTATCGCTTGTCAAGGAAGGATACCCAAACGACATGTGACAAGATTGTTCTATCAATAAAATTTCTTGATTGCTATATTGAGAATTTCAACCGTTGTTCTTCTTGTGAGAATGGATTTATTGGTAGATGGTCTTTTCCAACTAACTTTGCGGTGAGTTAATTTTCACATGTTGTTGTATGTCATTTAGTATCTATTAGCCATATTAATGCAAGTTTTTTTTGTCTTTGATTGTACCTAGTCCAAGGTTGTGAATGACAAAATGGAACCTAAATATTTGAAGGTCATGAAATCTTATGTCAGAAAATACCCATTGCAAGATGGTGCATCTTTCAAGACATGTCAATATGTAAGTTGGAATATTTCATCCTTTTGTACACTTTGTGATTCTGTTTCATATTTTTTGTATACTTTGTACACTTTGTACACTTTGTGATTCTGTTTCATATTTTTTGTATACTTCGTACACTTTGTGATTCTGTTCCATATTTTTTGTACACTTTGTGCTTCTGTTTCATATTTTTTGTATACTTTGTACACTTTGTACAATTCTGCTTTGTATGATTGTACTTTTTATGATTCTTCTTTGTTTCTTCTTCATGTGCAGTGGCTTTTCCCATGTTGTATGGATGATCATTTCATGGTATATTGTGTTAACTTGAAGGATCGTCGTTTCGAATACCTTGATAGCTCTCCTTCTAAGCATTTTCTAGATCGGTTTAGGAGGGTTGGAGAGCTGGTCGTCCAGTATGCAACATGTTACATTCAGCACATCATGCCAGGAAAGTATGACTTTGATAATGACTTCAAATGGCGAAGGATCACAATTCCATATGATGATTTCACTAGTGCTGGCATTATCTGTTTAAACTACTGTGAGGAATGGGAAGGTGTGGCTACAAAGATGATGAGGGAAAAATGGTCTTCTCCAACCTATATTTACAACCGGAAGATTAATGCTATGCTGACTTTGCTGAATGGATCAAGGAATTTGATGATCGAGCAATTGAGGATGAATGTGTCTTTTAGTGAAGAATTGTTGTTGTCATTAGGGAGTTCTAGTACTGGGTTTTCGCTTGACAAATGATGGAATAGGGAACCAATAGTGTTTTTTTTTGGTAATCCATGACTGTATGCACTAGTATTATTTTCTATTCTCATGTTTTGTAATGCGGTGACCTTATGAACAGTAGTGTGGCTGTTGGTGTTATGGTGGCTGCTATCTATGTTTTGGTTTTGTAATTTTTATCACAGTAGTTTGTATGTTTTGTTGTTGTGGTTCGTAATTTTTTGTATCCTATTTCGTAATGTTTATGTCTAACATAGAATAAGCATGAGAAACATACAAATGTGAATTAAAAAGAATGCAAGAAATGAATTGTTTGATGTGGCAATTATTCACTTTATCTGTGCATCTATGCAATCACTCAAATTTATCTATGTATCTATCAAGTAATATATGATATGGCAAGTAGTTCTGTCTATGTATTTATATTCTGTCATCCGCCCTTTCTTGTAACATTGTTTGTCTTCTCCTTTCTTGAATGATTTCAGTACGAATCTTCCTCCTTGTCCTTGTAACTTTGTTTCCACTTCTACAATAGGATTAAACAGCAGTAGTCAGTTTTTGTATATAACAGAAAAATATACAAACAATACAAATTTTAACTAATATCATTACTAATAGTCATTGATATGAATATCAACTAAAAGAATACTAACTGTTATGAAAAAACATACTAAGGGTACAAACAGTAAGTGATATCATTACAAACCTGCTGCTTGTATTTACTTTCATGGCAGGTATCATGTATTTACTTTCCTTCCGCTGCCCTTTCTTATAACTTTGTTTGTCTTCTCTTTTCTCGAATGATTTCAATTCGATTCTTCCTCCTTGTCCTTGATTTAAATGGATCAGTCCTGACTTTTAATGCTTTCGCCCAATGTGGTTCACTCTCTGAACTTGCTGGATTCAATTCTGCTTCTAGAATAGGGAAAAAACAAAGGATTTAACAACAATAGTAAGTTTTTGTAGCCAAACTTATCCTACAAAGAAACAGACCAGAAAAAATATACTAACAATACAAACTTTATCTAATATCATTACTAACAGTCATTGATATGAATATCAACTAAAAGAATACTAACTGTTATGAAAAAACATACTAAGGATACAAACAGTAAGTGATATCATTACAAACCTCAAACCTGCACCAAATTAAAGGTAGTGTTTCATACCTGTGCTTGTGCTAGGCTGGCCAAACTTCATGGCAGGCATCATGGATTCAGCACGAATCTTCAATGCTTGCATTCCTTCCTCGAGCATCTTGTATATGTCATCATCCATACAAGTGTGTGTTGCAAGCAAATTCATGGATCCAGTAAGTTGTTTCACCATTGAACAGTACACCCTCTCTGCTGTATCTTGTACTGCCGGTAGTGTGAAATCTCCAGATTTTGCATCATATGTCCACCTGTTTAATATGTAGCGTGTGTGAATATTCAAGATTTCTGGGTGTCCTCCATAGCCGAGGTGATCTATTGCGCGCAACACATGGCGACAAAGCCATCCACACTTCTCGAACATCTTGCATGAGCAAATCAGCTTACGCTCCACAAAGTCAACAATAACAATCCTCTTATCAATAGGATTTCTTTGCTGATCTAGTTTGTGAAGCTCATATGCAAACATTCCATCTATATCCTTGGAGTTGTTTGGTCGTATATGGTATTTGATTGACTTGGAGTATTCATCTTGCATGTTCCCAAATATATTTTGTGTATATTTGGTAACAAACTGTTGAAGAACCTCACTGTTTGTGAAAACCAAGTATGGAATAGTGTTCAATGCTTCATAGTCACTTCTCAACTCCTTATGTCTTTTGGCTTCAAGAAAGTTGTTGAATTGTATAAAAAACTCCCACAAAGTAAGTTTCGACTGGAGATACTTACGCAAATGGCTGTTGCAACTCTCGCTGAGTTGTGAGCTTCTCATTCCACATGCAAAATGATCTTTCAGCCATGCCGATGACCATTTACTTCTCACTTTGTGGAGGTTTTGCAGCCATGCCTCAATCTTACTTGTTAATTTCTTCCCTTCTTCTTCTTCTTCTTCTTCATTGAAGCAATTCTCAAGCATCTTCTTCCAATAATAGTCGAATTCATCCTCTGTCTCCAAATCATACATCAAGAAGGAAAGCTCTTCCAAAAATGGTGACCACCACAACCCATTACTCTTTGCATTCATTGTTATATGGAATGTGCACAACCCATGATAAGTGCGCGGCAATGCTGTCCTAATACCAGCAGCAATTGCTGCCGCTTGATCGGTAAAAACAGCTCCCGGTTCCTTCCCGTTCATGCAAATGAGAAATTGTTTGAAGAGCCAATCAAATGTGGCTGATGTCTCATCATAGAGTAGGGCAGCACCAAAAACACATGTTTCTCTATAGTTATTGAAGCCCATAAATAAAGCTGAAATGAAAATTTTGTTTAAAATTAGTAATGAGGTTTAACAAAACTGACATATTGCAAAAACATACTAAGAATACAAATTGTCAAAGAAAAACATACTAAGAGTACAAACTTTAACAGAAAAACATACTAAGAATACAAACAGCAACAGAAAACATACAAAGAATACAAACTGTAATAGAAAAACATACTAAGAATACAAACAGCAACAGAAAACATACAAAGAAGACAAACAGCAACAGAATCATGACAAATATGGAAGAAAATCATTACAAACATACATGTTAGTGAAAATTAAAAAAATTGTAGTACCTAATGGGCAAGCATTCTTGTTGGTGCGGTATGTTGTGTCAAAGCTGATGGTGTCACCAAAATAGAAATAGTCCATTCTCATGCGTCCATCCGCCCAGAAAATACTTGCAATTTCTTCATTGATGTCAACTTGGATCTCATAAAAGAAAGCTGGGTCCATTGAAGCTTCACTTTTGAAATGATGATAAATCATTGTTGCCTCCCCAAACTTCATTGTTTTTTGCCTTTTAGTCCCCAAGTATACAAACAGTACAAAGGATTAGACAAAACATACAAAGTATACAAACAGTACAAAGAATATTACCAAAACATACAAAGTACATAAATCAAATAGTATAAACAATATAAAACAGATCAAAAAGCTTATAAAATGTGCAAAACCCACCTTTTAGTACGGATATAATTCTTGTGGTCCATTTGTGTGAAGCCAACATTTTCTCTTCCTCCGGGAGCCAAGCATAATGCTTGAAATGATGATTGTATCGATATTCCAGCTTTGTGATACATGTCAATCAAGAACTTTTGCACTTCATTCATCGTTCTATTTGATCTCATGAATTGTCTTGATGATGGTGGGATCATCTTGTGATTATGCTCATCTAACCAGCTTGAAATGTAGTATTTTTGGGAACTATCTTCAAACTGGAAGCGTATCACTGCTTTGCAATCCCATCTATCCTCTTTTCTAATTCTGCTTCTAGGTTGTTGGTCAACATGGTCGTCATTTGCTGGATTATTTGTACTACCTTTTCGCCAACCTTCCTTATTGCATCTGCCCCCAAAATATCTTACAACTTCACACGGTTTGTTATTGCTTGTTCTCTTAACCCCTCCTGTTTCTCTAACATAAAATCCCTTATTATGTGCATAGCATTTGTACCACAGCAATCCATGATCTTTTGTGTCAAAGCGAAGGTCCATCCACGTTTCTTCATTGCTTGGTATTATTTTGATCTCATCATCTGCAGAAACAGAACAGAGCAGAAAAACATACTAAGAATACAAACTGTCAAAGAAAAACATACTAAGAATGCAAACTATAACAGAAAACATACTAAGAATACAAACAGCAACAGAAAACCATACTAAGAGTACAAACAGCAACAGAAAACCATACTAAGAGTACAAACTGTCAAAGAAAAACATACTAACATTACAAACATAATTAAACCATACAAACTGATGCACTAAAGCTATAAAGCCATACGGTATTTCGTACAAACTGCATAAACCATACGTTTGTACTGTTTGCACTGTTTGTACAAACATAACAATCATCATATATGAAGACTTACAATACAAAATGTACAGAACAGAGCAGAAAAACATACTAAGTATACAAACATCCAAAGAAAAACATACTAAGAATACAAAATGTAACAAGAATCATTACAAACATCAGACAAGATTTCATACCGATTTCACGTTGTACTGTTGTTTCCTGAATATCTACATCCATTGTTGTTTCAGTTCCAGTTTCTCCCGTTTTTTGTTCATTAGCTCCATCAACCACTTCATCCATTGTTATAGGAGCAGAATCCATCATTCAAAGAAAAACGCCTCGCCGTTGGCTGGAAAAACGCGTTCGCCGTTGGCTGGAGGAGAGTGGAACTCGCCGTCGTCGATCGCAGGAGGAAAATCGCCTCTCCAATCGCTAGAAATTGCCTCGCCGCCAATCGCCGGAATCTCCTTTGCCTATCGCTGGAATCGCCTCGCCGACGCGGGAGGAAAATCGCTCCGCCGATCGCCAGAATTGCCTCGCCGCCAATCGCCGGAATCTCCTTCGCCTATCGGTGGAATTGCCTCGCCGATCGCGGGAGGAAAATCGCTCCGCCGATCGACGTTTGCGGGAGGTTTGGACGCCGAGAATCTCCCTCGCCGTTCGCGGGAGGAAAAGCTTCGGGCAATTTTTTTCCCTTCCCAGAATAAAAAGGAAAACCAATTAATGAATTTTTTTATACCAGAATTGCCCCTCCCAGTATTTAAAAATACCTTCCCTAATTTTCACCGTTAGATTGATCCTTCTACATCCAATGGCTAGGAGGGGCTTAGCCAAGTGACTAAGCACCCCCCTTAGTCACCAGATCCGGACTCCGCCTGCCAGCCCACCATCAACTGGGCCCCTCTTTTCATCCTCGGCTGGGCCCTCCGAAGATTCCTCCTCAGCATCCTCTAGCATGTCCATGGACACTGGGCCGTCTGTCTAGCCCACCACTCCTGCCCGTGGGCCTCCCTCACAACCCACTCAGCCACCACCGCTTGCTTGGGTCCACAATATGCGTACCCGTTCCCAAGACGGGATCTTCCGGCCGAAGAAATTATTTCACGTCGCCGTCTCTGCTCCGCCCTCTCCTCCGCCGCTCGAGCCTGCCTCTGTCCAGGAGGCGTTGCTTTACCCAGAATGGTCTGATGCTCTCAAGGGGAAAATTAAGCCCTCCATACTAATGAGACATGGGATCTTGTTCCCCATCTCCCTCATTACAACGTTCTGGGAAATCAGTTGATCTTTCGAGTCAAACGCGATCCTGATGGTTCTATAGCCCGCTTTAAAACGCGGTTGGTTGCCAAAGGTTATAATCAGCGTCTTGGCGTTGACTTCGGCGATACCTTCAGTCCAGTGGTCAAACCGGTCACTGTCCGCACACTTTTCACTTTGGCTCTTTCCAACAATTGGTCCATCGCTCACTTCGACGTTAATAATTCATTTCTCCAGGGTCCTCTGCAGGATGAGGTCTACATGGTATAGCCCCATGGATTCATCGATCCGACCCATCCTCATCACGAATGCCGCCTCAAGCGTGCTATCTATGGCCTCCGACAGACTCCAACAGCTTTCTCCTCGAGTTCGGGTTTACCAAGACTGTCTCTGATTCTTCTCTATTTGTCTATACCGCGAGGGTGCTCTCCTATATTTCCTTGTCTATGTGGACGACCTCTTGCTCACCGGCAACAATGATCAGCTCCTCTCTACCTTTTGAGAGGCTCTCTCCCGGCATTTCTCCTTGAAGACCAAGGGCGATGTGAACTACTTTCTTGGGATTGAAGTTATTCCCACTCCCACTGGCTATCTACTCTCTCAACACAAATACATGAAGGAAGTTTTGCAGCGTTTTGACATGCTAGATGTTGCCCCTATGCCGACTCCCATGCCTCTACGACCTCTCTATCCCTCTCTGATGGCATGCCACCAACAGATGCCACTCACTTCCGTCAAATCCTTGGGGCTCTTCATTACTTACTTGGTCTACACTCGGCTTGATATCGCCTTTTCCGTCAATAAATTATCTCAGTTCATGCACGCTCCTACTACTTCACATTGACAGTCTGTCAAACGTATGTTCCGCTATGTAGCCTTTACTGTCGACCATGGTCTTGCCATTCATCGTTCTCCATAGCCTCTTGTTCTCTCAGCTTTTGCCGATTCCGATTGGGCTGGTAATCTGGATGACCGCTCTTCTACTTTGGTGTATCTTCTCTACCTCGACTCCACTCTCATCTCTTGGAAATCTAAAAAACAATAGACCATTGCCCACTCCAGCACTGAGGCTGAATACCGGGCCATTGCTCATGCTACTGCCGAGATTGAGTGGATCCAGAATCTCCTCGCTGAGTTGCATCATCCACTTCACACCCCTCCTACTTTATACTCGGACAATCTTGGCGCGACATATTTTTGTTCTAATCCTATCTTCCATTCCCTCATGAAACACTTGGCATTGGATTACCACTTTGTACGTCAACTTGTTCAGGTCAATCATCTTGTGGTGCGCTACGTTCCCACTGCCCAACAGCTCGCAGACATCCTCACCAAACCTCTGCCTGCAGCTCGCTTCCTTCTTCTACGCTCCATGATCGCCATTGTTGATACATTGTCCGTCTTGCGGGGGCGTATTAGAGATAAATGATAGTTTTTATTATTTTATTCTTTCTTATTTTTCCCACTGCATATTTTCAGTTCCTATACATCACGGACGTGCACAGCTGTCTGTTGCTAGTGCCCCTAATTTATCTCCCCAAACCTGTATAAGAGTTCTTGCTGTATCAATGAGAAGATTATCTTGGATTCTCACAAATCATAAAATCTACAATATTCAATTCTTATATTATTATAATTATTAGTTAATAATATATATTTTTGTACTATTTTTCTTACTAGCTAACTTCGCCCCCCACACCTCCCCCGCCGATCGTCAAATCTTGGCTCTGCCCCTGATCATAACCCATCTGCCTGTCCAAATCCCCCAAGCAGCACGAAATCGATTTGATTGACATAATCTAGGGGAAGAAGCGAATTGAGATAAACCCAGAAAAGAAAGGAAAAGCAACTGAAATTGTTTGTACAGTGGATTATTGCTGCCAGAGCTGTGAATCCAACCACTAATGTTCCTCCCTAAGTGAAGAGGAATGAATAACCAAGCATTCTTCTGCTTTCTTTAGTGGTGGAGATACCTTGCTGGTAGAAGATGTTATAACTCTTGGAACTCTCAAAATTATGAAAATTAAATGTAAATTTTTTCTAATAAATTTGAGAAATATAGTAGTTGGTACAATATTTCTGAAGTGCTGCGTTTTTATTTTATTTTATGTTTAGGTGCTGCATTTTGGTTAGGACTTAAGATAGAGTGTTGCGTTTTGGTGGTTGTTGAAAAAGAAAACCCTACACTACCACCTTCCACCGCAGCCACCTTCCATCCACAGCTCTCATATGCCTTACACCGGCAGCCACAGTCGTCGCCACCATCTCACCCGATAGGGGAAGCTTCCGTCGCCGTATTCATCCTCGCCAGCAGCTCCTCCTCTGCATTTCGCCGCCTTCGTCGCCACCATCGCAGCCGAAAGGAGAAGATTCAGTCATCGTCTTCATCCTCTCCGGCGGCTCCTCCTTTACATCCCGTCGCCGTTTAATCTCGCCTAGGCGACGACTAATCGGCCTGGGCGCTGGGCGATGCCTCCTCGCCTAGATAGCGCCCAACGTCTTCTTGAACATTGGAAAAAGCCAATGTTTGATATAACTTTTCCAATATAACTTTCGATATGGTTTTACAATACTAAAAAGAGTCTGCCTAGGTGGTTCAGATCAAGTTCGGATCCTGTGACTAAGGGGGTGCTTAGTCACTTGACTAAGCCCCTCCCATCCCTTAGATCTTGACACATCAATCTAGCGGTTAAAAAGTGGGAAGGGCTATTTAATTAATGACGGGGTAGTTTGGGTATTATGGAAAATTACGAAGCATACAAACCGGACTTACTATCAGTACGACACAAACCGGACTTACTATCAGTACGACCATACAAACATACAGATAGTACAAACTACAACGACAAAACATACAAACAGATTTACAAACATTACAACAGTACAAACAATACAAACAGTACAAACAATACAAACAATACAAACCATACAAAAATAAAAACACAGGCGGGTTGACTTTGGAGGCTCCATCCCTATATAGAAGGCTCTGTCCCAAAGTCAACCCGTTTTTTAGACAATTAAACTAGACCGACAGGCGACAATCCATACAAACAGGAAAAAACACCCGGGTTGACTTTGGAGGCTCCATCCTATATAGAGGAGTTCCATCCAAAAGTCAACAACGTTGTTTTTTAGACATAAAAAACATTACAAACATGGTTGACAAAAATAATAAACATGGTGCACAAAAATAACAAAACTTACAAACATTACAAAAGAACTCGACAAACATTACAAAATAACAGCGTACAAACATTACAAGATAACCCGACAAATAGTACAAAGCATACTAACCGTACAAAATGTCACTAAAAATGACAAACAAGAATGATAAACAATACAAACCGAATCGATACAAACATTACAAACCATACTTACAAACATTACAAAATAGGTCAACAAAAATCACAAATCCAGCATTGTCGCTGGAAAATTCTTCTCCGCCATCGCTGGTCGCGGAAAGTCTCCTCCGACCAGCAGAAAAACTCTCTCTCTCTCTCTCTCCACCGCCAAGTTGGTGGAAAATTCCCCATCGCCGGGGAAGGGCAAAGTTCCCAGCCCAACGAAAGGACCGGAGCTTGGCACCAATAGGAGGAAAGTGACAGAGCTGGGCAACGGCAAGGAGGAACGCCAGAAATCCCTAGGCGACGACGATGAGGAGTAAATGGACGACGGGGAGGATACGGACCAACCATATATATTTTTTTATTTCAATTGTCAGATAAATAAATTGTATAACTACTAGTATGCTCTTCTTTAAATTGGATTAATTTGAGCCATTTGATTTTAATGAGGTGCAAGAGTTCAGATTCACTTTGTCATGTCTCATATGACTAAGAGACATTCTTAGTCACCTGATCTTAGCCCGGTTCAGATAAGCTTGGGCATCCGTGTCGAGTAAGTACCACGTAGGCTTCCACCGTTCAAAGTAATCACGAGCCTTGAAAATGGCGTTAGGTACCTGCGTTTCGCTGGATTAGAACTGTTCGTTGGCATCGAGGCTAGCACGGAACGATACGGTTAGAGCACGACACGAGCACGAAATAAATGGGCCAGCCCGGCACGAGCACGAATAATTTATGGGCCGTGCCGGGCCTAAACTTTATGGTCACGAGCATGGGCACGTCACGGTATATAAGTGAGTCGTGTCGGGTCTAATATTTTCGAGACTTTATTGAGTATAAGATCAAACATGACACGAAAATAATATTTATTTGATAGAAAATAAATATAAAAAGAATTATAGGTTCAAATATTACATAACACAAATAGGAAAATAATTATTTGTTGTTGTTAGAAGTGTCATAAATATATATATATATATAAGTAATTACTAACATAAGTAAAAATGGACAAAGAATTAAACAAAGCCAAATCACACTCGCTATACTTCCAATTTTATTTCCCCCCTTATTTGTTACTTTTCTCAAATATTATCGGTTAATAATATCC